CCGCGCTGGCGCTGTCCAGTTCAATAACGAAAACCTTGAATCATCTTTCGACTGTGTGCCGCAATTGTATATATAAAGTTGCCACGTGGCCGTGTTGTACATTCATAACGGTTAGAGAGAGAGAAAAAAAAAATTTCACTGCGTAAAAAATTTATCGCCTCGAGCGGTGGTACATCGTGTGAATCTTTTTTAAAGAAGCGGACGTTTCAAAGTTTTCCAAAGTTATTTTCACTTCTTTGTATAGGAGACGAAAACAAATGAAAATAAACGTCTAATTGTAATTGGACCAAATTATGCAGAAAGCTGTCAATCTTCACAGTGACAAAAATATTTGTTCAAAAATTTTTCTATTGTACTTCTTGCTATAATTTTTTATTTTGCAAGAACTCACCAGTTTGTAGAATTCTTACGTTATACGGTTATTAAAAAAGATTAACTTCGATGTAGATGAAATTGAATCGAGATTGCTGAATCTCAGTTCAGCCAATACCAATCCATGGAAACTATAGGAAATTTATAAATAATATTTCAAATAACATATATATGTTTAACGTTTGTTAATAATTTTCTAAAAACCAATGAATTTATTCAGTAAGATAACTGATTTTTTCCAAAAGAATACACCAGTTGCCATATTGTTCTAATTCAAGTCAATTTCGCAGCAATTTGACTTTTCAATTTTAATAGAGAAACGTAAATTGAAAGAATGCTACGTGAACGTGAAGGATAATTATAAAACGTGACCAAATGTTTTCCTTCTGTTTAAGAGATTCCTTTAATGCTTTCTATTTAATACATCCATCTAGAATATATATAAAATTTCAAGAAATTAAAATTTCAAGAAGTACTTATAACATTGCGATAGATAGCAGCTCGATCCTCAATCGTTTCCCTTATAATTGATAATTTAATAAACGTGTTACCGCGTTTTATATAAAATCAGAATGTGGCCTGATACTTGCGAACGCGAGTACGCTTCTCAATAGTTAATAAATCGACGAACAATTTCTAAATTCCTACGCGCATCCTACGCACACATTCGACGTTAATTTACAATGACGAATTGTACAAGCGAAATTGACAATGTCATTTTGATTTTATAGTTGCAACATCCTAACAGACCACGCGTCTGTAAACATGACTATGAACCGAAAAATTCAAATCAGATATTTTGTATACATGACTTTCGAATTGAATCAACGTTATTCTTTCGCTAACGCTTTCAGGAACCGCGAAAGCAGATCGACTATTTTCAGAATTTCTGATATGATGGCCGACGTGTCGATTGTACACATACGTACACATGTTCACGCCTCGCCGTGTGAAATGTAAATTACTCGCACGCGGTTCACCGCCTCGATAGTTACGCCCCCGCGTTATTTTGTTTACACGATGTTGAAGTGTTTAGCTAGAGATACGGGAATTCGGGACAAAACAAGATGTTGCAAAGCTGCACGCCGAGCTCTCCTCGGTAATATTACAATTTCTTTCAGTCATTACTGACAACTTAGACTTTGGAATACTTAGAACTTAGAGTTTGAAATTTGAAATTTAGAGCATTTTAGACTTTCGAATTTAGAGTTTAGAGTTTAAAATTTAGAGTATTTTAGAATTTAGAGTTTAGAGTTTAAAATTTAGAGTATTTTAGAATTTAGAATTTAGAGTTTAGAGTACTTTAGAATTTCGAATTTAGAGTTTAGAGTTTAAAATTTAGAGTATTTTAGAATTTAGAGTTTAGAGTTTAAAATTTAGAGTACTTTAGAATTTAGAATTTAGTCTTATATCATATAATATATTAGATATTTATTTATACGCACATACGCAAGTATGATCATTCGATTATTGCCATACGAACCTTTCAATTTCTCTAAAAACATAGAGAGGATTAAAAATTCTAAATGGCCGCAGTTCAATGGCCGGGGGCTGTAAAATTACCCACTGACATCACAATTTCCGGTGTAAATAAAATACATCTTTAGATTCTGAGTGATCGAAAACACATTTCGAGGGACGAAAAAAGATCTAGTTCAAACATCCGGATAAATTTGTCCCTTAATCTGGTTATCTCGTATTATATTACCGCCCTCTGTGTACACAATCCTCCGGTTCGATTAGAATTTTCTATTTCCAAATAACTGTCTTCTGTCAGAACACTTAATCCGCCGGTAAAACGTTCAGATTAGTGAACCACATTGATCGGATATCGTTGAACCGGATTAGAAAAAATAACTCAGACGTTTCATTTGAGTTTCTTTCAAAGCAGAAGCCGACAAAGCGGAAGAACACGGCTTCCACGCGTGCATTTTACCACCGATGTTTGTTTTACACGCAAGAAAAACAAAAGTACAATCCGGTTACGAGGCTGAGGCCTGGGCAAGCCGCGTGCATTGAAAATAGTGACGTCCATTTAACTGTCGAATCTCCGTCGGTATTTGCTCTCTCGATTCGTCGTAAGTTGTTTGAAATACAAACTTTCCGCTTGAGAGGGAGAATTATTGGAAAATGAAATTTTTCCAGTTGAAGTTACGGACTACGGTTGAACATTCAGACGTTTAGTAATATAGAAAAAGAGAAATTTTGAACATTTTCTGGAACTGAATTGATCTGTTAATAATTTTAATACCACGAGGAATTACTGATAAAAAAAAAAAAAAAACGTTCAGTTTTATTTGACACAAGATCTTGAAATTAGGCTTGAAAAAGATATCGTTCTATGATGCTTCGTATTTTTCATTTGTTTCTTATATTATTTTCGATCACTCTGTGCAAAAGTTCAAATTCCTTTTCAGTCGTCTTAAAATACAATGTACATAATAATAATATTTACTAGAATGTTCTTGTAATTCTTTAAATTTGTTTAATTATAAGTATTCTCTCGTGGCAAATTGATCTTTCATTCTGAAATGAACGGTTCGCGACGTTCGATATATTGCAAGATCTTACTACATCTTTCTCCTGAAGAATTATAACTACGGGTACTTCGTTGTTCCATAATTGCTTCATTAGTAACAAGAAACGAATGTATTGTTCTGTGTGAGGTTATTGTAACGTCAAGTCAGTCAGAAACGTTCCAACCTTCAAAATCAAACAGAGTAAAAACAAGTTTCCAACGTGATACAAATGTAAATTCTATGTACGTGATTTCACGCCACGTGGTAATAATGCCTTTTAATTTGTGTCTGTTAATTGCATATTAAATTATGTAATCTCTTTTTTCTAGTAAAAAACAAACATAAGACTGTCGGTTTCTTAAAATATTTAAATAATTTGACATGTCTATGTAAGCTTTCGTTACCAATTGTAATTGAAATTCCGAAACACGTTGACAGAAATTGTAATACTAAACTAGAAAAGAGTAAAAAGAAACTAAAAAATAGAAATTGAAATATGGCAGAAATTAAAATACAAAAAGAAAGAGATCAAATTTTATTAAATATTAATTTATGATATTATAATATTATTTTACTATGTATATAATAATCCATTATCTTGGCTACCCCTACTTGTAAATAGCGATACAACGAAAGTAAATTTATTTTACAAAGTGTGCTTTTATCGTGATGCTTGATAAAATTTTTATCGAACCTTCGTGAGAAAAAATGGATCGAACAGTTGAGAATCTCTGACTTTGATGTAGCATATGCACAGTGATAACAATATTTTTAATTTGTAATTGTGTTATTAATAAAAGTCAGTTCAAGTTAATTAATTAATTCACATTGCAGTAGAAAACGGTACACGTAAGTATACCTGTTCAGATAAACTAGTTCAGATAAAGCTAATCGATAAACTTTTTCATTTGACTAAACGATCAATATAGACAGACCGTGAACTTCATTACATTTATTATACTTAAAAAAAATGGTTATTTTCTCCCAAGGAAATACATTGTACAAATTCCACGTCAAGTACAAACTAGTCGAAAAGAATTCAAATCACTCGATACTTTACTTACAAAATGTCAATAGATCTACATTGAAATTGATCGAAAAGAACTTGAGTCACTCGCATAGATGTGTATTAAATAGAAATCAGCCAAAAAAGTTACATTCAGATTAATTTATTTCACTTCGTACGAACGGGACCACAGCATATTTGTATATATAACTGATGATTTATTTTTTATGTATTCAGTGAATTCTAGATTTATTTCGATGATTAGTTTTCAGCTCTGCAGAAATCGAAGGAGCTGTCTTAATAGAGTCGACCAGTTCCTCCTACAACTTATGCGTACACAACTGGAAACCTAATTTACTAATTAACCATTCAAACAGTTACTCAAACAGTCAAACATCTCATTTCAGGACTTCATCATCAGGATATGGGATGCTCAGAAGATTTCAGTTTCGATGCTTGCGAAAACAAGCGCGCAACTTATTCTTGAAATGCTTTCGAGACAAAATGGCTAAGTTACATATACCGTCACATCACAATATTTCCAGTTCCACAACGAAACTTCAGCGAAAGAAATAAATTTCAGCGAAAGAAATAAATAATACACGTAGAATGACAAATTAGGAAAAAGATTTAGGAATGGGTGGAGCAATGACGACATCAATCATTTTTACTTTCACGACACGTTCTCGCTGCCTCAGATTTCTCTCACGACTCACTCCTTTTTCACTTACTCCACTTGCACTCCATTCACATGTTTACATACTTCGCACCGCTTTGTGTACTTCATTCCCTAAACGTAAATTTCGATAGTTAAATATTATTTTTAAATATAACCGAATGATTCAATCATTGTACATTCACGCATTTTTGAAAAAACCCGTTCGATCTGACATCTAACACCGTTCTCAATCACAATTCTACGGTACTCTATATTACGATACTCTATCGCGATCGTTGAGAACGCACAAAAACAATATAACAACGCTGATCGAGGTAAAAGAAATATACTCTCGCGATTTTTAACCTACCACGATGAGTTAGTCTAATTTCGATAACGATGTGTACCATAAACCAAACAAGACAGTTAAGTAAATCTCACTCACCGGAATTTGATTCAAATTGATGTCCGATCGGTCCCTGCTCGGACAGTCGGTGGACGTCGTCGAGGTCTGCTTAAATCGTCTGCTGAATCGCAGCAGGTTCCTCATGATCATGGTGTTCATCACGATGATGAGCACCAGCGGCGCGATCAGACTGGCGATGCTGTCGATTATGCTGATGATCTTCATTGTCTCCAAGTATTCCACCTTCAAGTCGCAGTACTCCTCACCGTCTCGGCTCGTTACCACACCGGCCGTGACAAAGGAGTACGAGTGACTCGCCAAAGCGAGAATCACCAGGACCAGCACGATGGTCTTCGCCCTGGCTATGGTGCATATGTGAGGTCTGTGCAGGGGATACTGAACCGCGATGAACCTCTCCACCGTGAACGCGACGATCAACCAGACGCTCAAAGAGCTGCAAACAGCGCTCACGTAGACCAACGTCTCGCACCAGCCGTCTTTGTTGAACACCTTCCAACCGATGGTGTTGTTCAGCCAAACAAGCAGCAGAGTGATCAAGAAGCCAAAGTCGGCAGTGGCCAACGCGGCCAGGTAGTAACTGGAGCTTCGTATCCTGAGGTGCGTGTTTAGGAACACCACGCAGGACAGCAGGTTGCCCACCAGCCCCAGCAGGATGATCGACGGAATGTAATACTGGTGGAAGAAATCCAGCAGAAAGTACAACGAGTGGCAAGCCTCCACTGGCTTCTCCTCGAAATCCAAGTCGAAGCTTCTGTTTCTGTAAGCGTAATGCGTCAGATTCGACCACACGGTCGGCGAGACCGAGCGTCTGCCACGCGGAGACGCGTCCATCGAGGAGGATTCCTCCATGCATCTCGCGTGTGTGCTGTACGTCGACGTGATGGAGAACATGGTTTCCTTTTCTTCTTCCTCTTTCTTGGTCTCTTTCTTTTATTTTTCGATAAATCACCGCCGCTTCTGAAAGTTTCTCTTTATAAATAGCCGATAATTAATAATCGATCAGTGATTCCCACTCGACGTTCTCAGTCGGAAGACTGTTCAAGAGGGAAATTTGCTCGTAGAATTAGGTGGTATTAAGAGTACAGAGATCGTGCAACGCAGTTAATTCTCTGATATTGAATATCGGATGACTTCCAAATCAATTGTCAAAGTCAAAATTCCTATTCGGAGAATAACGGCGATTTACGAAATTGCGTTTCCGCAATAGGTGTCTCCAAATCTGTTCAAGTTGCTTATTAAATTCGCCCCTCAACTACGCGAGATCTGACTGATTCGCAATAAATGAGATGTAATTTGATATAATGTGAGGTTGGTCTTACTCTCCGTCTATTCGTCTTTCATTTAAGATCTTCGATCGTGAATGAACGATGTCTAATTAACACAGTATTTGCCCATCAACTCTGATGATCTCACGTTGCACGCTCATGTTTTGGAGGAATTCGATATGCTTCTTTAACTTGTGACCTGTGTAAAATTATTTTCGTAGGTTGTTTGTTATTTTCCAAATATTCTCGTGCTGTTCTCTTTTCTGTTAATCCAAGTAATTTCGCGTGGATAATGCTCCAAAGTGAATTTAGAGTGGAAAATTTATAGTTTTCGTTTGATAGTAAGTAGCTTAGTTGGTGTTGAATTTGTAGTTTCGTAGGCTGGAGATTCTTCACTTTGTAATAAATAACTTAGCTTCATAAGTTATTTGTTATAGAATAATAAGTAGTCACGAATAATAATAAGAAGATAAATGATGAAATATTTATAGCCTGAAGATAGATTGTGGTTCACTTATTAATGATATTAATTTAATTTCGCAAATTATTTGTTACCTTATAACTATTCTCGCACATTTTTTACGCTAGTAATCATCATAATTTCGTGCAATAATAGCCTATAAAATTTATAGCCTAAAGATAATTCACTTAATAAGTAATTAAGTTTCATAAATTATTTATATATTACTTGCTCCTCTTTATATGCAAGTATCATTATTATCTTCTGCAACAATGAGTTGTGAATTTCAAAATCAATCTGTGAAATTCAACGACAGAAAATGGTATGCTTTACATAATAACGAACAATTTAATTTTACAAGCTATTTACTCCGTAAGCACGTTTTATCATTGATCTTCTGTGCGATAATTGGATGAAGTTGAACAACAAACAACTTATAGTCTGAAGATGCTAATAATTAACTCGATTTCATAAATTGTTTGTTACTTTATAAGTATTCTTTCTCGTTTTCATACGAATGTATTATCACGATTCACTGCGATAACAGCGATAAAAAAATGTACAGCTTGAAAACACTTCACGTAACAATTAATAACTTGGTTTCGTAAATTATTTCTTATTTCGTAAGTGTTCTTGTACGTTTTCACGTAATAAGTAATATTACAGCTTCGCGTGATAAATAAGTCCGGGATCGATAATTGGGAAAAATTTGTAGCCTGAAGATTATATAGTTTCACGTAATAATGAATTAGATGACCAATCCACAATCTCTTCAAGTTTATAGAATTTAATAAGAAACAATTTACTCGCTGATATTTCATTTACGTCCTCTGTTCCTGAATGTCGTCACTGTCCCTCGTGTTCCTCGGATTTACCTTCCAATGTTTCATGAATTGGGTAATTTAGTTAAACGATCCTCGACGCACGGTCGCACGTTAAGAGCAGGATTCCCCGCTTAGAAAAATGTGAGAACAATTGACGAGAGAAATGTTGTCTTTATATTCCGGGAATGTGTGTATGTGTGCGTGTCTGTGTTCGACAATGGTCACGAAATATTCTGGACTAGAATAGAAGGTAGATCAACTGGCTTTAAAGTGTTCCTCGAGGTCTGCGGCGTTTCAAATTCTCCAAAGTCTCTCTCGGCGGGCAACGAATATTCGGAAATAGCGAAAATAGCCTGTTCGAAGATGCTCCGAGATATATCGCTCCCCGTATATCGCACGGACTGTCTCAAACGATCCACGAAATGATTCAACGTGATAGATAATTGCCACGAGATAGAACCACATCTGTATCGTTCCTCCTACTCGGATTGTTTCGATCTGTTTACGAGTCGGTGAACTTCGAGCAGTCCAAATAATTCATCCGTTGGAATTTTAACGAGCCTCACTTGTCATTTGGATAATCGTTCTTTTCCTCCTCCTCCTTCTTCTTCTTCTTCTTCTTCTCTTTTTTTATTTTTTCTATTTTTTTTTCTTTTATTTTGAATTTAATTACTTCGATCTGTCTGTCGATCGATAAATTCCAAATTTGAGTAATTTCCCACTTGGAAAGTGGAACTTTAACGATTTTCAATTAGATGCTTGTTCCAATTCTGTTTTTCAATTTCATTTGTCCAATTCAATCGCTTTCGAGTAGTTTGCACGTTAGAAATGACAAACGATCGGAAAACTCGGTTCAGAATATTTCTATCGCTTGTAATTCTAACGAGTCCGAGCTATTCGTTACTTGTTTCAATTGTTTAGATTCAATTGTTTCGATCTGTCTATCGATCAGTCAACTCTAAGCACTTCAAATAATTCGTGCACGAACGACCAACGTGATGATTGAAATATCTCTGTCACGTGGAATTCTAAAGATACCGGCTTTAATTGTATAATTCGATCGGTCTCCGAATCGATGAACTCTGTACTTCAAATATCCAATCAATCCGTTGGAAAGCACACGAACGATCGAATTTGAAGACGTCAGATGCCTTCGAAAGTAATTTCAATTGTTTTTTTTTTTTAACTTCATCGGACTTTAATCGTCCACGAATTGATAAACTTCAAATAACAACGCTTCAAGTATCTCGTATGTTAAAGAAGACGAACGAGTTAAGACGATCAGAAGAATACCTGAATTGCTCGAAATTCTAGCGAATCGTCATTTGAATCCTGAGTCAATCATTGGATTCGGTTTCCACCGGTGACAGTGAGAGGTAATCGCATTATATCGGTCCAGTGTGCGTTTGCCGTCGTCGGGGAAAGATAAACGGAATCGCGGCTTAGTTCGATACGCAAATAGTTCGAAGTGGAATGCAGATAGACTTCCTCTTCGCCGCGACCTTGACGCAGGCCCGAAATAAGGCTTCCCCTCGATCGTTCTATATGGTTATATGGTGGAAGACGATCGAAGTATCGATCGGATAAGTTTGCCTGGAAACTATCTTCGTATCTCAAAGAATCAACAACAACGACAACTGTTTGTTCGATTTCTCCGTCCAACGTCTTCGTCGATTAACGCGAAGTCTATACGAACATTTTTTCCCCTGTTTTTTTTTTTTTTTTTTTTTTTCGTAATTTCATTCAACGTCTCTTTCGCAACTTTTTCAATCGTCCAGATAGAACTTGCCCAAATTCCGAGATTTATCACGGGCGCGCTTCGAATGTCACTGTTTTCCTTCCGGCGAAGATTCTTTTACACAATCCGGCTCTCCGGTATCTATTATAGATTTTTCTTCTTTCGAGAATCGTCGCAGTTTCAGCGAATCAGCTTTCACATTCGCCAGAACCGGCTGATTACACAATCGGAGAACTTTTATCGTAGCTTCGCGCAATTTCCGACACGCGAGGTATTATTTTTCTCCGATTCACAATACGGTATTTTACATACGGAATATCTCTTTCTCTCTCTCTCTCTCTTTTTTTTTCTTCTTTCGCAGAAGCGACTTTGAAAATCGAGATTCTCCTCGCTACTGCGCGAGAAGTCGGTCGATCCTTTTATTGAACGTTTCACGCGCTGTCACGTTGTAACGGGCGCGCATTTTTAATATCGAGCATAGTCACGGATCTTCCTCGTAGCTATTTCCGTCCACACGAACCCCCGTTAACGACGTTTCAGTAACTGAGTACGCAATAACCAGCGCGTTCAGAAAGAGATTTCGCTTTATTTCTGTATACATCGAGGATCCAACGCGTCGTTCGAGCCATCGAGACCTGAATCGTGTCTGATTCGCGATCCTTTCATTTTGTCCGCGATGTTTCCGTTGAATTTTGGGAAATCGGGCTCCACAGCTGACCTTGACAGTGTGTAACGTGCAGTCGTTCTATAAATTTTCACCCAAGCGAGATAGGGTCGAGATTACGGAAGACGGACGGATCGAGGTTCAACGAGCCAACTGGATTTCTCGCAGGCCACCATCAATCTCGTTTCTTGATCTTGATCGCGATTATTTAACTTCGCCTACCACATTGTCCCTTACTATACTCTTATCTCTTGCTATTCTCGTGTTTTACTGTCTTTTAGTAACTTATCGTTTGCAATTATTCTAATTGTTAGTAACTTCAATAAGTTCACAAGTTTTTATTCAATTATTTAGTAGCTTGTTCGTTTTATACCGAATATTATCATTTAAATCTATCACCAGAGTTTGAATTAAACATCGGATGTTCGACGAGGTTTAAGAATTGTGCACGATGATATTCGAGATCTTTTTTTTTTTGATATCACACTGTTAGATATTTCTTTGAACAAAATGACCGTGAGTTGCACGAGAATGATCTGGCGCGACAATTTTTCGAAGCACCGAACGGCTTGAACGGGAGTGAAGTCGGTGTGTCGTGCGACGAGAAACGACGTCGGGTAAACTGGAAACGCGATCCACGGATCCGAGCGAGTTTGCCGCTCATCGGGTTCCTTCGCATGCGCTTTGCAAGCTCCCTCGGCGTCGCGTCCCGTCGTTCATCAACGCCCGGCGTCTACAAACCATCGAACCACACGCGATATACCCAATATTTCTCATTCACGCGATTCACGCGTCCTTGCCGCGCGATACATGGTTCCATTTCATGGTTTTTTATCAGTTGCCTGAATGACGTTTCGTATCGTTGGTAAATTAGTCATTCACAGGAATTCTTTTTTCTTCTTTCTGTTGTTTTTTTTTTTTCAATAAATGCAAAAGCACTCGATCGATGGTTAACATTTTGTGCACGAAAGCAAACCTTTGTCGCACTCTTCCACTCATTGTCAGTCAGACGTGGCTTCCTATTGCTCCAAGAATTCCAGTCATGAGAATTTGTAACATCGCCTTGCCTAATATTTTCTTATGTATAGTGTGCCGTTCGAGGAAGTGTTGATTTTCGTCCTGTTTTGTAATGTATAATATGCTGTGTAAACGCTGGGTACTCGATGCGACATAACTCAGATCGATCAGGCAAAAGAATTAGGCAAGACACTCAGTTCTTTTTTTCTTTCTCGTTATCTTGATGCGATTAGTGTATTTCTTATGTCTTTTCTGCTTATTTTGTATCACTTGCTTATGATGTATTTACTCATCGCGATATATAAAGAATTATTAGGATAATAAATAATTAATTTGATTATTATTCCAAGCATGTAAACTTCTCCTTAGTATCTGATTAGTCTAAGCTTCTGCTCAAACGCATGTAAATCAATAATTTAAGTGAATTCAGATAAATTAATAAGATTATCACTTTAGCTTTTAAAACAGATCTGACTTGCATTAAACTTGATCAGTGTTATAATTTACTAGTTACATTGATCGTATAAAAATCTTTAAATTAATACGAAGTTACTGTTATCTAAATATTACTAACGTAACGCATTTTAGATGTTACAGTTTCCGCACGAAATAGGAAAATAGAAAACATCTAATCTATTCTTTATTGTATTGAAAACTTTCAAACAACCACTGATAGTTAGCAGTGTTGAAAACACTTGTCATATTCCCAATAGTATTGCCAATTATATCGCAACGACGAAACCCGTTTATCTGCATCGTGTCCCGTTGAATGCGAGGCGACATCTGGGAAAGTAGTGTGTACGCGTGTATAACGTAGCTTCTAGTGAAACGAATCAACGCTCAGCGAAACAATCAAACTGTTGTGTTGTTATTGGAAAGTTTTCAACGACAGCACTGTTTTCGAGTGATCGTTCGCGCTATTGCAATAAAACTCCGCTTACTACGTGTCAACTTATTGGAAGACAAATAGCTTGTTGCAAATTGAATAATAAATTATAATAAATCATAATCGTAAGTTTTCAGTCGCGGACCTCTCCCCTGCACTAGTGATTTTTCGTTCACACAAGGCTTCACGCGCAAATAAATCAAATAAATAGCTTTAACCAGTAAGAGTTTATTTAATCGAGTATTGACTAAAATTTGATTCAAATAGATAAATGGAGTATGTACCGTGTATTGTACAGTTCATTATCGTCGCGGTGCGTAGTTTAATAAAGCCTGTTTTTCATAGTCGTGTATTTTTTCATCTGAGTAAGCGGGTTAAGTATTTTGTTTTTTCTTTGCCAGCGATTACGAGGGGGGGAACTATCGTTACGTAATTAGAGATATTTTCTTTCATTTCTGCAGAATCTCCTGCAATTTGTTTTCAGCAGACAGTTTTTGCGCAATTTTCTTGTATTTGGCTGTTGCGTGTTTTTTTTTTTTTTTTTTTTTTTTTTTTTTGTTTTTTTTTTTTTTTTTTTTTTTTTTTTTTTTTTCGTTCTTTCTATTACGGTCTAACTTGTTTCGTAATTAATTAAACTGGATGGTCGGCTGGCACGACTTGCGAAACGGTACAATCTCTTCAATCGAAGGCCCACGTACGAGAATCCTTACACAGTATCTGAAGTGACCCATTTATTTATTTCGTACGTAATATAATTTCGATAACATAAGAACGTGAAACACGTTTTACTTTTCGAGTACGTCAAGCACTTGTATGTATCTTTTCGTTCCGTTTGTTCATTTTTGTTTTTGTTCTGAATAAATTTAAATGAAATTTTTCAGTTGTATACAACATTTTATAGTACGTTTTTCTTAATGCACTAACATTCTATATAGACTCTTTGTTGCGCAAACGATATTGTTTAATATTTTATTTAGTTTTTTATTTAATTTGAACAGATACGTATATGGTAATGTATTTTGTCTCTAGGGATATTTTTCAGATTTTTCAGCGAAAGCTGATTCATTTATTTTCGTCCTGCCAACGTATCCGTAAATACGATGTTATCTGTATTTCACGGAGATACTTTTATTAGATTTCATTTTATGAAATTGCGATAGCTTTCAACACTTTAATCTTTAATTCTCAGAAAAATCTCATTATTCATTACGTTACAGAGATCTGAAATTTGCACATGTTGTTTTATTGTTAATTATTGTTATGATTACAACTGTTGCGGTTATAGTTATTTCTTTCATTGCGTCGCATCAGAGAAACACGCCATCCAAATACACTTTTTTTTCGGGCAGTGTTATCAGGTTCTAAAGGAAGCATGCACGAAACTAAAGGGACAGTTACAGCCAAGCGGTAAACCGTTCGCGCCAGTGTTCACCTATGTGCTCAATCCAAAATCAATCACCCTGGGCCAGCTGTATGGTGAATATGACTTGAACACACGCGAATGGTAAGTAAAACTTCAATGCCCAAACATCGGATCAAATATGATTTCTGACACCTTCTCTTTAAGATTGCGATACACGCACATGAAAATAATATTACTTTTAGCAAAATTTAACGTAGAACGTTAATGAAAGATGAGATTTTAGAAACCTTATACCCCGACTTAGAAGTTAATCATATAATATATAGTGAGTCGATATTTCAAACGTGATAAAAGAAAGTATCAAAAATGCATAAGAATTTGCGATTCTAGTAATAATTATGTTTTTATTAAAGGATATGTTTTTTGTTAATAATAATTACATAGTATTTTCACTAACGTATAACGTGTTTTACGATCATGAATATTTTATGTATTTTTTCGTATTAAATTTTTAAATTTCCCATACATATGTATAATTTCCTATAAATTTAATATAAACAGAAATTTACTTTATCGCAAGAGTTTCACTTTACCACAGTATACCATGAAAAATATTACATTTTTTTCGCGGAATTCCAGAGCACGTATACGTGGAATTATTTCAAACAAACAATGGAAATAAGCATCTGACACGATCTTGTTCAACCTTAAATAAACACGCGAGAATATCACGGAAAAAACATTTTTATACGTGGAAACTGCGTTACGAAGTTCCCTTTGGTACACATATTACAGGTATTTTTATTGGATTTTCAACTGTCTGCTTTTGGGTAGCCTTCAATTTTTCAGTACACCAACTGCGCCCATGGTCGGTCAACAAACTATTTCAAACTGAGCTATTGAACAGGAAGGAAAAATGTTTTTTCTAAAATCAACGTTGTATCATGTATCTCGTGTACCATTCGAAATCTACTCGGTGTCTATATACCTGTCACCAAATATGATCATGTTTGACTTTCTACACGCGTAAAGGTACGGGTGTAGCGAGCAAGCATGATACAGCTGATTGAAAAATAAAAAAAATTAAAGAAATTAAATTAAATTTCTTCACGGTGCAGAATTCTTCTCCATGAGCTGAACTCTCAATTAAATTCTCGATAAAAAAAAAAATAAAAAGTTATACAATATTACGTAAAGAATTTCTTCCTTTTTTAGGACCGATGGAATTTTCTCGACGTTGCTCAGAGCTGGAATAGCCGCGGCCGATTTGAACAAACGTTGGTACATTTTCGATGGACCTGTTGATGCGGTATGGATCGAGAACATGAATACAGTATTGGACGACAATAAGAAACTTTGTCTAACGTCTGGTGAAATAATGAAGATCCTGCCTACGATGACAATGATGTTCGAAGTTGATAACCTGAGGGTGGCCTCGCCAGCCACAGTTTCGAGGTTAATTATTATTTAAATATATTTATTATAGTTAAATTTTTATTGATAGAATCGAATAACTACTGTGCATCATAATTTCCATCAACAATTATCTCGCGTAATTTCTTCCTATAATTTGCATAACAATTCGCACATAATTTACAATATAATTCGCACATAATTTTAATTGTACGTAATTTAATTGTATATAATTTATTTTATGATGCCGTTATCCAATCATCCCGAATTTAGTTTGGATATACTATTATACGATCAAAATTCTATTTAAGATGTACATAAGATATACAGGGTGGGTGAAAAATCGTAATACAACCGGACTGAGGGTTCTTCTACGTAAGAAAATAAAGAAAAAATGTGGTATAATAAGTTCACTCAATTACGCAATTCTGTAATCGGTTGTCTCTGCTCCAGTTAGTGTTTCTAAACATTGATAATGATAGGATACTGCAGGAAATAAAGGTTTTAGTTAATTTATTTTTTTTTTATTCAATTTTGGTTCTATGTAAATGGAGTTCTTTAGAAATTTGGGACAATTGATTCTTCGATGCAAAGAAACTTTTGTCCATTCATTTGGAGTGATTGTTTAATTTCCATTATGAGTTATTGGAACATGAATTTTAGTGAATAACAAGGTAATTTTAATCAGATCCTTTTCTGGTGTAGACGAATTAACTGAACTAACTCTAATTAAATTGTCATATAATTACATATTGATATGGATCGTATACGATGTCATATAATTATATATTGATATGGACCGTGTACGATGTCATATAATTATATAGGAGTTAGTAAAGTTGCCTGAAATAAGAGCAAAAATTGAAATTAGATTAAAGTACATATTTTACTGAAGAATAATTTGAACTACTTTTATTTTAATTAAACGATACTTAAGTTACGAACTTAAACGATATTTAATTTACTTGAATTAATGCTACTTAATTTATTTTAATTAAACGAAATTTTAACCTGGTCTTGATTAGTTTTTGCCAAAAAAAGAAAAAATGGTGATTATGCTATTAATTGAAATCGATCTGAACATAAACGTTTAATACACATCAATCATCGTTCGACGTGAACGAGAAGAAGAGAATAGAAGAAGACATGAAAGTGTCAAAAATAAAAAATGACATAGCACAATGCACGACGTGTATACGTACAAATTCTAATTTTAAATTCTAAAACGTTCTATAAATGACATATTATGGACGTAATGGAAATGCTCGTGTCACAAAGAGGTGTGCATATTGTAGTTTAATGTCGACAGACAATGCATGTATAGCGTATATAATATATTGTAAGATATTTAACACACATACCTAACATACCATTATTTTATTAGCAAAAATATATGAAATACTCGTATTATTATTTAATTATTGAGTTAGAAACACTTGCAATTTTTAACACTCAATTCTTCCACTGGTTCATATATTTTTTTTATTTTATTTGAGAAGATTATTTTAGTCCTTCCTTTTCTGCATTTTACTCTCATTTTACTTATGTGTGACATATTTTTATTTTATTCTATTTTACTCATATTACTTTTTAGTTTACTTATAATTTATTTTTATTTTATTACTGTCAGTTTTCAATGTTCAATTCTTCTTGATTATACGGGCTGATTCACGTAATTTGCACGCCCGAAATAACTTTTAAATTATGCGTCTAATGAAAAATTTATTTAATACAAAAATTTTAAGGCAGGAAAAATAGTACTTATCAATTTTTTATGGATTTCGAAATTTCCACTTTAATCTGTAGTTAATAAAACTTTCAGTCTCGCTCAAACATTCCATTTTATTAGAAACTTATAAATGGTCTTAATTCAATAACTTTTTTTGACTTTTACCTCTTTTTTTTTTTAGGTGCGGTATGGTGTATTTAGAACCTGAAGATTTAGGCCTCGATTCCCTCGTTAATTGTTGGTTGAGACAATTGCCCAAAGTGAGCACCTTACAAGCAAACAAAATTTTTATATTTTATACAACATATACATCTATAGTTCTTTGAATACTTTCGAATACTTATAAATATTCGAATACTTTCATGATTACTTGCATGACTACATATATAATTACATAAGCTACATATTTACAGAATATGGCTGAACACATCGAGGGAATTACTGAATTAACGAGGCAGTTCTTATTTCCGGGGTTGAAGATTCTACGTAGCCATTTGCGAGAAATCGTAAACACCGTCGATTCCGGGATGATACAGTCTTATATAAACTTGATGGACTTTCGAATTGGTCCCATGGCTGGTCGAGATGGAAAACCTCCTCCGAGTGCTACTTTCCAGCAGTTGATCCGTAAGAAACTTTAAATCATTTATTTCTAAATGTTTAATATAAATGAAATTTAATATAAATTAATTATATATAATAATTAAAGAAAGAGAAGAGGGATTAGAATATCACATGTATTATTTTATTTATTTCATTTTAAATCTTTTTATTAAGAAAACTTTAATAGTAGGAATCTATATGAAAGCCATAGGTTTTTAAATTTAATATCAGATATTTTCAATACTGGAGATCTATGAACGCATATAAACGCCCGCTTACTACTGTGACGTATCAATCGTTGATTATACTACTGCCTATGATGTACGTTGTATCTATTACTCGCTCGTCAATATTTCCGATTTTTATTGTAAGAAAATTAAAATTATCAACAAAAGATTCAAACGAAATGTAGTAGAAATAAGTTCTAATTTTATTTTTAGTTAATCAGCATTATGATATTATGTCCATTATAATACAAACAACAAAAATAAAACTTCAGGCCAAACGCTAGTTTATCATATTAAATCGTTAAATCAGAATTTATTCTTCTGACGTTTAATAAGCAATTTTTTCTACTTTCCTTTCTTTTCCAGGGATTTCATTACAGCGAGATTATTTGAATTACAAATAATGAACTACCTATTTTAAGCGTATCTCATGTGCATATATACCTAGAACGTTTATTGGAAAACGCAAATGCATTATTAACGTTTGTTCTTTTATTGGCTATTATTCCCTACATTCATTGGTAAACGACTTTCATAAAATGATTGTCGTAAAAAGATAGATAACTTAAAATGTTATGAGTTTTATTTTCGTTGTTAATTTCATGTTTTAGATGAATATAAAGATTATGAGCATTCAAATTACCATACAAATTGTAAATTGTAGCAAATTGATAAAATATTAACATTATTTATAGTATAAAATGTAAAATATAAACAAAACATTAAAGTCAATACATATCTGTAATTTCTTTCTAATAATATCTTGTAATTTCTTAAATATACGTAATTAACAGTAAATGTCTTGCAACTTCTATAAGATATGTTCTCAGATTTCAAATTTTATCAATATATTACAATCGTATCTCACTATAACGTTAATGAAATTTCAAAATACTTCGTGCAAAGCAAACAATACGTATGTATGCGTTTTACAACGATTTTTGTGTTGAAAATTTCACTCCTCGTTGGGTCTTTCTTCGGAATCGTGTTTATTATGTCAAGGATAGGTACGAAGATCACGATCGTCAAACAAGCGTTACATTATATTTCAGCCAGTTTGCTTTCACCTTGGGCAGCTTTCGCGACGGTTTGGAGTTTGGGAGCAACCAGTGATTATAACAGTCGTCTGATATTCAACGAATGGGTGAGAGAAGTGCAAAGAAAGTACCATCATTCTTTACCATTTCCAGAAGATGGTTTGGTATTTGATTACCGGTAATCTAACAAACGAAGCGTTTGTTTTTCGTTTCTGCCCTTTTTCTTTCGTTTCAGTTGCGTGTTCTCTGCCGTAGATTGCACGACGGTGGATTCACCGATCTGATCGACAGCCAAGACCCAATTCCACCAAAGTGGTACAAGTGGTTGGACGACGTTGCTCCAATCAACATTACGCCAGAAATGAAATTTGCAGGTAAAGAATAATCTGAAAGATGAGACATTTCCAAATAATGTACAGTTACTTTTATTGTCACTATTGATTTATTAATCCTTACTCGTCTTTCATTTTATTGGAACAGCTTAATTTGTTCCTTGGCGTCGAATTGATTGACAGTGGTGAAAAAAAATTAATACCTACGAAATGAAAAGATAAATAAATTTGCAAGTTCTTTTACAACAGTAAATAGACTAGATTTCTATTCAATTGTGTATGACTTACACTCAGGTATAAATATTCTATTTTACAAGAAAAATGTGTCAAATTTACGGAATATTTCGTAGGTTGAGTATTCTGAATTTGCACAATTATTATAATACTTCAATTTTTTCAGTTTAAGATCTATAACAGGAAACATAACAACGAAGAAGTGTAAAAATCTTTCATGTCTTTTCACAGGTCCAATATTAAAAAAATTTAACTACAATTTAACAGTACCTGAATTAGCACAAGTGAACCATGGTGGTCTGTAATAATTTAGAATTAAGTTACTTAATTTTTGAGACGTAACTTTTAAGACGCAAGTATCTCAGATTTTAAAAATGTAACAAATTTTGGTCATCTATGGGTCAACGATACTACCATTCAGGGATTAAAAATTCTTCTTCGTCCAAATTTTGTCAAACATACAGAATTTCATCTAATTATTTACTACAAATCATAATCAAATTTACAAAAGATATCGAAGATTAGAAAATCTGGTCAAAAATTTCTGTAATTAATAAATAATTAATAAGGCAAACTGGTTCTGATCTAGTAAATTACAATCTTTTTTTAGTGAAAATGGAGATATTATATTTTGAAATTTTATTCTGTATATAATGTAATATAAATGTATCTATATATTGTAGTATAAATGTATTTATATGTAATATAAATGTATCTGTATATATTCTGTATATAATGTAATATAAATGATAATATTATATTGTATATATTTATATCACAGACATAGAAGTACCAACAATGGACAGTGTGAGGAGTGAAACTCTGATTGGCTATTTATTAATCAACAACTCCGATATCCTTTGTGTCGGGCCGACTGGAAGTGGGAAAACTTTGACCATAAGTACGAAACTTTCGAGAAACATGCCCAAGAAGTTTATTTGCGACTTCATCACTTTCTCTGCCAGAACTACAGCAAATCAGACTCAGGTACAACAAGCTAAAATATATAACATAGAAATTCCAATGCAGGAAAGAAAGTTTAAGTAAAAGGATTTGTTGAATGAACAAATTATTTTAGTAAAATGAATAGAAAATAAGAAATGCAAGAAATATTTTAATTGGTTCACAAGGAAAATGTAACTCTGCAGACCTATTTATGCTGAAAAAGATAGTTCATTTCAAAAGTTAATTAATTTTTAAATATTAAAATAAACTAAAGACTTTCTTAATCCCCGCTTAAATACACGCAATTTAACATCAAAAAAATTCTATTATCCGAAAATTCCATTAACACTTTTGTCTTCCTATTAGTTCGGATACTGGAGATTCTACTGTAACAAGTTTTATTTTCATCCTCATGTTTTATAGCATTTGAAAAAAAATTACTCCATAAACATTTGTTCAGAAAAAAAACTCAACTTACGTTCAATTCAAGGAAAATATCTTTGATTTCAAGAATAAGATAAATAAGTAATAGATTAAAAATCAAAAGTGCAACGAAAATAAAATTTACATTGATCAAAAAGTCTCGTGATAATTGAAGCAGTTATAGCCACGATAGAATGAAAAAACTCGATCAACATTTGCTATGTGAGCTATAGAAAATGGAAAAATTTCAATGTTATTGTGAAAAAGGATTTGATCGACGAAAAGTTGGTGAAAAGGCGCAAAGACGTGTACGGGCCTCCACTACTTCGCAAGCAGATTATTTTCATCGACGATTTAAATATGCCAGCCCTGGATACGTACGGCGCTCAACCTCCTATCGAGCTGGTACGACAATTTATGGACTTCCAAGGTGATTCGTTCGAAATTTAATTTACTGCTTCCCCTACGATCCATAAAAATCCTCGTTCGTAACTAACAAACTACCGGAACGATATTCGTACTATTGAAATAAGCGAACTGTTATATTCGATTCTCACATGAATCGAAGATTGGTAGAATTTTATTTGATGTAAAGATAAAAAAAAGTGGACAGTTCGAAATAACGAATCGTTTCCTCCACTTTATCGTTTCTCGTGATCCGTGAATAATCTTTTATTTGAGTTCATTCATTGAAATGAAATAGCAAATGATTCCTGAGCAAATGATAGAACAGGAAACTGTTTGAAAGATCATTTATAGAAATAGAATTGCAAGACCAAATAAAAATTTATTTTATTTTTATTGCCAAATGATGAAACAATTTAGTCGCTTGTTGAAGCTAACTTTAGACTGTGAACAACTCAAATTTCGAGTTTCGAAATACCATCGCATCTAATAAGACGATACGTTACACAAATAATTATTTTTTAAATACGTTAAGTCAATTAATATCCACGATTGACGTGAATCATCCTAACAATGAAAAAACACGTGAAATACATTTCAGGATGGTACGACCGGAAGGAGATCGGTTCGTTCAGGCGGATAGTGGATGTAAATTTCGTCGGTGCGATGGGACCGCCTGGTGGTGGTAGAAATCCAATAACTGCCAGACTGTTGCGACATTTCCATTTCATTGCATTCCCGGAAATGGAGGACGACGCTAAGGTAATATCTAAACGACGCTTTCCAACCAATTAAAGGACTGAAACGTGAATGACAATTACGTAGAAAGCTGAAAATAATTTAGAAAGAAAACCAGCAACCGGGGAATAATATATCATCGTCTGATTCGAACGTGTCAAAAATCTCACGTCTCGACGTCCGATTATATTCCTTCCGTCCTGGCTGGTTTATAATTGTAAGATCGTCGATGTTAAATCTGATTTTGGAGTATCGGTTAATCGGGTTATTTCTTAATCAAAGATTTCTATAACTACCTATCGAATTGAGACAAATTGATTCTGGTCTGGCCGATTTTAGTTAGTTAGTTTTAGTACTTCTTGTAAACGTAATTTATTTTAAAGGGGAATAATACTACGGTTTGAATGTTTTATTTTGAACGTATTTACGTCACTATTGTATTTTATCGAAATACCGATGGAAAAATACAAAATTATTCGTAGTAAATAGTATTAGTTTTAAACCCAGATTTTAAACCGACGTGAGTCTATGAGAACTAATTAATAGTTTTCCAACGTAGCAGTCTTTAGATTTTGGCTTATAAACATAATTATAATAATATCGTTATATCATTAATAAGGATTATAAAAGAAATTAATTCTAAATCGCCATTTATGTAGAAATTGATAATTAATTATTAGTTGAGCCCGGTTTAGTCAATTTTAGTTCTTCTAAATATAATCATTAATCACCTACTTTTAATGAAAATTAAAATTTATTTTTAATGAGATGTAGATTCCTTCAAAAAATAATAGATCTATAAATAAAGAAATTATTGTATTCAGAAGATTGGGATAACAATGACGAGTTAATCATCGTGATATTAAAAAAATTTTAATTTCTTAAAATTTTCGTAAAATCGAATCCGCATAAAGATATGATGATGAATAAATATTAAACGAATACAAAGAAATCGAGTTTGATTTTGCGCTTGATCAATGAAATTCTCTTCAAAATGATAAATAAATGCTTTCAATGTATTAAATCCTTCATCATCATTTGACGATGATGTTCTCTTTGCAAACGCGTTGCTAATTAACGGAACATTCATGTTCATCAACGACCATCATTATATAATATATACATACGTCGTAATATTCTTTAACTTATAAAGTACGTATGTTTAAATATTGAAAAATGTAGCTATTTTAAATATCTTATATGTACAATGAGTCACGGAAATAGAACAAACTATATTACATAAAATATTTCCAGATTTTATTAACACTTTATTGAGACACGACTACATTGCCATGATTATATTAATTTAGAATTAATCTGAGAATATATGCAGGAGTTATACTTACTGTATACTTAAATATATATAATATTTATACAATAAATATATATAATATTTATATACTGTATACTTAAATATATTATATTTACTGTATACAATAAATATATATAATATTTAATACTAATTCAACGTAGAGTATGAATCACCATCTTAAACATATTAATGAGTGTTATCATTAATATCATGGCTTATTGATACAATAAATTACGATAACTGTTTAAATATTTTTATAATTTGTGCGAAATACATTAAATGTCTAGCATTAAGTGTCTTGTAATTTTGTAATTATGATAATTGTAATTCATTACAGTGTTAATACTCGAAATCGAAATATTTTATAAATGATACACATAATATATATGTATGTACGCAAATATTTTCCTGAACGTTTTTGTGTATTAAATACTTTACATTTGTACTATACGGTTAAAAATTTATTTAATATGATGTTCAGTATGGTATAGATAGATAGATATAAATGCCTATACTACAAAAAATTTATTTAATATGATGTTCAGTATAGTATAGATAGATAGATATAAATGCCTACACTACAAAAACTTTATTTAATATGATGTTCAGTATGGTATAGACAGATAGATACAGATGCCTATACTACAGGGATATTTTCTACGAGAATAGTATGTGTTGTTTCACGATGTTGCATGCTTGACACAAATAAGTGTATAGACTCCCCGAGTGGGTGGTAACGCGCCCTCGTCTTGACCTCGTTCGATCTGTTTAAAACCAAATGTGCCAAAGGGGAGGAACAGATTCCAGTGGGGGTCGATTATGGCCACTGGCTATAATTAACAAACTGGTGATCAAGATAAATTATGGGGGGAACGCTAGAACAATTTACGACGCCTAATTGCAGCGAGCACAACGGAAAGGACAAATAGAGGCAGGCATCGGGCGATGCTTTGTCTCTTTCACGAGCTACAATTATTCCTTGTGGGCGTGGATTGACGATTCGATGGAATAAAACCGGATAAACGTCGAGGAAAATGAACGCGACTCAGCTGGTGGAAGTTACCCGTCAGCCATCACCCTTAAGGGGTTACGTACACTCAGACGGGCGTGTTCAAAAATGGACTTCAACTTTTGTTGAACAACGCGAGATGAATAAACGTCTCTGACAACGAGTATAGATTTTTACAGTTTCGCAAAGCTTTAATTGCCATAAATGTCATGATTTAAACTCTTCTTAATTAGTGAAAATATCTACGGTATGGGGAAAAAGTTCGTAGAATGGGGAAGATCGAGGCAAGATAATAAAGACTCAATCACCTTTAAAATCTGTGCCATTCAGGTCCTTTTTGACAAGTTAATTAAATCCCTTCTCTTCATATTGTTAAAATCGAACTTTAATAAGTTACGTTTTTATTCGTCACTTTATAGTGGAACCTCTTTTGTCCGAAATACTATTTTTCAATTATCTTGTATATAATATTCGAATGTTGAATCATCCAACGAGATTACCTGCTACTAACTGGAAATTATTATTTATCGACAGACAGTTTAATAGTGTAACATTTGGATATTAACCTTTATTTGTAAAATAAATATTCGGATGAAAGTGATTATATTGTATATCACTGAACAAAGAATTATTTGCAAAGTTACTCTCTGCCCGGTTATTTTGCAAGTAAAAATAGGAAATTGGTAGAAGCGATTCGTTATTTCACAAATATTTTTTATCTTTATTTTAAATTAAAACGAAATTTTGTGTAAATTAAATGAAAAAGTATCATTGTCGACATTTTTATATTAGAGACACATCTTTGGGACGATTCTAAACGCCTGGCTGTCCGCGACGCCTCACTTCGGACACATGTTGGATACTTTTCTCAATACGACGTTGAATCTCTACACCATCATATGCCAAGAATTGTTACCGACACCTCACAAGTCTCATTATACTTTCAACCTTCGCGATCTCAGTAAAGTGTTTCAAGGAATGCTCATGATGGATCCAACAAAAATAGAGGTTTGTAAGGAGAGACAGACATGAGGCCTGTTCTCTTCCTAGTTCTTTCATATTCTTTTACACGAATATATTCTTTAACCTTTCGTCGATATGATGGCAAAAATTATAAAAATTATTTATTGCAATTTTAATTTTTTTTATTCATTCGTACATGTTGAACGTTACTTTGAAGAATTAAAAAAATTGAATATTAATCTTCTCTCTCTTAATATCAAATCGTGATTACAGTACAAATTACGGTATATTTAATTACAATTATTAATTTTAATCAATAATTTAGACTGCTATCGATGTTGTCGATATCGATTATGATATTACAATAGTAGCATTGAGAATAATATTAACATTAACAGCAAAGCTATTATATTCACGTACGTACGATTGTAATCACATTAATAATACACTGATCACTGTACTGTAATAATTCTAACAGAAGTGCTGCTGATAACAATTCATTATAACAGTATTAGTATAACAATAGTAATGCTGTAATGATCATGACGATAATATTTAAATTGCGAATGTTCATGCAAGTTTATATTTTTATGAACATGAACAAAGAAAATTTGGTTCGCTCATTTCATTTACAATATGATGACAGGTACATGTTTATTAATAACATGGATTTTCATATATTTTTACGTATACGCATTCTTGAATTTTTAGATTTCTCATAAATGCATAAATATTGGCAGTATATTGACAACAATAAGCCCGATAGACTAGACAGAGTTTCTAGATAGTTTCATTCCATTCGATTGTTGCTTTGCTAAATCTTTTCCAGCATCAAAAGAAATTGCTGCTACTCTGGTATCACGAGAACGTACGAGTATTCAGAGATCGTTTGGTGAATGATGAAGACCGAAAGTGGTTCGACAATCTCCTACGGGATATGATGAGCAAAGAATTCGAGTGCGATGCCAACGAAATTGTGGGTGATACGATGTTATTTTTTGGTGATTTTATTGGAATCAGCAAGGAGTACGAACAAATAATCAATGAGAAGAAAGCAAGTATTTTTATTCCTACGAAAAGTAAGAATTTAAGGATAACTAGGGCAGTAATATCTAAGATATAGATCATCCGATGTCGTTGCAATTCATTAATATCAAATCTAACACGAAGATCATTGATTAAAATCAAATATTAAAGTAATTCATTTATCAAACTTGATATTATGAACCTAATCCATTAATGTCAAATATGATGTGAAGCTAATCTATTAATATCAAATCTGATATCAAAATAATTTCGTTAACATCCATAACATGTACACATGTGTTCGTGAAAGTATTCGAACACGTATGTATTTGTGTATATTATACGTGTGTCGTGTAAAAGACTTTGAAATTTCATTATACACCGATTATACTGGTCAAAATAAATTTAAAAATATACAACTGTATAGTAATTGGAAATTATTTAATACAAGTTTATATTTCACGTCGATCACAAAAATATGTTTAAAATAGTCAAATATTCATTGCAGTATGTTAATAAGAAATATATTTGTATTTTATATTTATATTATAATATTTTATTTGTTATAAACGTACTTATTATATAAGCAGTCATTATTACTTATTACAATTAAATAAATATATTTGTAACTGTTGTCACTTCTTTATTATATTACTTGTGTTGCTTATATTATTAATTTATGTTATTTCGATCAAAATTTTACTCTTACTCTTTCATCTATCATCTTTCTTATTTCGTCCTGCTAAATAATTTGGTATCAATTTGGTATTCTCTGAGTAATTACAAGGTGAGAAAATTATTGAAATTTCCTTTCATCGTTCTAATGTAAAGTATCATTTCTGAGAATTCATTTTCATCTTTCTGCGAAGAAACTAGTCTTTCATATATTTCACATAAATGTATTATATTTATATTTATATTTATTTATTTTTTTATTGTATTTTTTTATATATATTTATATTTTCTTAACCGTTTACATTAATGTCTTTCATTACAAATTACCAATATTCTTGCAGATGGAATACGTACTGGAGGAATTCTTGGAAGATTATAATGCTTCGACAACGACCCCTATGAAGTTGGTACTTTTTCAGGACGCTATAGATCATATTTGTAGGATAAATCGAATCCTACGACAACCGCGAGGAAATGCTTTTCTCTTGGGAATGGGAGGATCAGGTGAAGTAGGAAAAGTGTTTGATATTACTTTCGGCGAGGTCTTTTTTCACTCTTTTCATTCTCCTTACTCGTAAGTTGTAATACAAGACAGATTTTTTTTCTTTATCTCTTTTCGTTTCTGCTGAATGAATGCACAAATTGTAAAGCTCAATAGAAATAATATTTTGGAGATTTCGAAGATTTTAGAATTCTTTTTTCTTCATCTCTTCATTTTCTGACGGAAGAAACACGCAAATTATAAAATAATAGATGACAATGTCAATGATATTGAAGAAGATTGTATGAAAGAATTTAAAAAAATTCTGTACAAGAGAATTTAAAAAAAATTTTAAAATAAATTATTTTTCTATTACATAAAATGCATGAAAACTTCTGAAGCATTGTTTTTAAAATGTTTCTAGACTTTTTATGAGTTCTAAGTTTTATAAATATTATGTAATCTTTTTGAAGAATCTCTACAGCATGAAAGTTCACAGAGCTTGATGTATTGAACGCTGATGCGTTTAATATTACTAAAGTTCCTAGCTTAATTTTTTAATTAGATTTTAATCTACTAGCTTAATGTTATAAATATCTCAAGAACAACGTCTCTTTATGTTATTACTGGTCTACTTTTATGAAGTTTTATGCAATTTTATATTTTTGTGATTAAAGAAATGAAACTTGTGCAATATTAAACGTGATATAAATATTATTTGTGGATTTTATACAAATTTATATTTTTAAGAATATAATTTAAATAGATAAAGTATTACATTGCACTATATTGTATTAACTAATATAGAATGCAATGTATTTTGAATATTTCATTTGTTTCTCCATACATGTGCATCGTATAAAATTTCTAATTTTATAATTTCTTGTTGCATAGAACTTCGTAATCCAAGTATGACAATAATAAAATATAAATATTATAATAAGTATTCTACTTTCAATATCTTTGAATACTGTGTGCACATTTACATCCTTGAATTTCTCGTAAATATCCCATAAAAATTCGTGATTTAATTATTACAATCTTAATTATCACGTTTAGGACGACAGAGTTTAACGAGACTGGCCTCGCACATACAGGATTACACTTGCTTTCAAATAGAACTGAGCAGCGCTTACACGATCAACGATTGGCGCGACGATATTAAACATTCGATGATGAAGGCCGGAGTGCAGAATCAACTCATGGTGTTTTTATTTTCTGACACACAGGTAACATCAATTTATTGAATTTCCTGTCGTATTGATCAAATATTTTATTGCGAAATCTGTATCAATAGATTATTCCAATTATCAATAGATAAAATAATATTCATTCAACACAGTATTACATTCAGTTTAAACCATAAAATTTTAGCTCGACTGAAATTACATACGTTTGACTGAATTTCATTGCGATTGAAAAATGAAGCCGGTGTGAGTATAAACCGCGGATTTTTGCAAATTGATTTATATTTTATTATCTACCATTTAAACAACAAGCTTATTTTTGTCATTAAAATGCGATAATAATAATTCTAAATTTATTTATTTGCGTGATATCATAATAATTTTAGTAGTAATTTAGTAGTAATTTAAGTAGTAATTTAGAAATACTTATATTGACAATAATAATCGTAATGTCATGTGTGTTTTGTATTTCTTGTAAAATCCAATCACATGTCTCTGATTTTTTTCTCTTTATTTCCATCTTATTAGAAATGTGAAACATAATATTACAGCCAGTATGAAACATTATTGATGTTCATTTAAATCAACAACTTCCCTCCTAATCGATAATGGAATCTAGTTTCGCATTGTTCGTTTCGGCAAATGTCAGAGCCGAAAGTCAAACACGAGACACGTATTTGGAATGACGGAAGAAAATATAATCGTCCACTTCCTACTTCTATTCTAAAAACAGGTTTTTTTTTTGTTAAAGAAAATTCTAGACTTGTGCAAAAAAAAAAACAAGTGGAATAAAATTCTTTTGTATGACGCTTCATTTTCGAAGAAATTCAGTAAAGTCATTATCAAGACAATTTTTAACACGACATTTTCAGAGTCTGTTTTCTTGAAAGTGAATCTTTAAATGAGAAGATGTGTAATTAAAAAATAGAAATAGAAATAAAAATATATAATTAAATAAAAACAACTGTTAAATATAAATTTCCAACGATCGATGTTTCTATTTTGCATCTCAGATAAAGGACGATTCGATGCTAGAGGATCTAAACAGCATTCTAAATAATGGTGACGTGCCAAACATTTACAAGGGGGATGAAATGGAAACAATTTTTCATTCGATGCGAGGTCACGTGCAAGAAGCTGGTCTACAGATTAATAGGAGCAATCTTTTTTCCGCCTACGTGAAGACAGTGCGTAACAACCTACACGTCGTTATTACTATGAGGTATAGGTCTCGTATTTTTAATGGAATACCTACAAAATCCCTGCTGGTTTCGTCGAAATTGAAGATTATAAAAAGAACGATGTCTAACATCGTCGCGCTCGTGCGATTATGTATTATAAGGGGAAATTGAGTGCAAAGTAACATATAATGAATATTCTTGCGGGCATACGACGTTAACGCCTTAAGAGCTCGCTAAATGAAAAACTACAGTGAGTGTAGAAAATAATTCGACAAATTTTCGATATTTTCAATGCCTATAACTTTGTAAACAAAATTTGCAAAACAAATTGTAAGTGATCATTGTGAAGAGGAGGCTTTCATATTTAAGACCATGATAGATTTAGTTGCGAAGATCTCTTAAAATTTGTTGCACAATTTTTTTTTTTTTTTACAAAAGGAAATATCGACAATTTTTTTATCAAGTGTGTGAAAACTTTCTAGAGTCATTACTGTACTATCATCTTCGGCGTTTTTCACTATACACCTAATCTCTTGTACATGCTTAATTATCAATAAAGTAAATCGATGACACGATCGTTTGACATTTGGCGCAAACTTACGAAAAAGTATAATCGATCGTTCGAAATCGTGAGTGAAAAATGCCAAGCTGATGTGATTTCGCAAAGTTCCGGGGGAAAAAAGGAAGAAAAATGTAATTTTAAATACGATAATTACGTAGTTATTTCAGACAATTTCAATAAGATAAAAATACAATCGACGTGTGTTTCTTTCATATTTCAATTCTCGTATAAAGCACAGGTCTTTGTTATCATTTGAATATTGCTGCATTGTACAAACGAAGAAATATGATTCGAAATGATTTGATGATCGCGGAATAAGTCGTGGAAATAGCGATTTATAACGTGAAACGAAATATTAGCTTCCAACGATCGTCTGTTAGGGACTGACAAACGATCTCATCCACGGTAATGTCACCTTTTTCCCGTTTATTTTTGCCATGAGGATCGTTAAATCGTACTTCCATTTCCACAGATATCTCAATCTCTGTTCTGTTAAAATATTTCTTATTTGTGAAGGAGAATTACTCTGATAGGAATTACTTACGAAAATCTGGTTTCAATTCGAATTTTAAACGATCCTATCGAAACTTATATATTCTTTTAATATTTTTCTTTTTTTTTCTGGAATTACATACACCTTCCAATTTTCGATATCCAATCGATTCTATTATTAATATAAAGGCAAGATGGTATAATAAAATCATACAGTGAAACGTGCAATGCTGAATTTTTACAATTTCCAAGAAAAAAAATACTCTCACTTTCCCACACTCTACGTAATGTAAAATGAGATAGAGATTTTAAGTTTTAAAATAAGACCAATCGTGAATCGTTGTAAAATTTTTTGTTTTTACAAAGCTATATCAGTTCAAATCATCGATTATTTTTCATCGTCATTGGTTCAAATACAACTATTCGTTGTGTATCGATCGTTTTATACAACGAGGGGATTGTCTTTGTGAGAATATTTTTTTTTTTTTATTCTTACATACGTTTCAACTTTTTTATTCTTACATATGTTTTGAGAAATGTTTATTTCTTACGTATAAAATAACAAATACATTGTATCAAATATATTTACGCCGATTGAAAATTTTTGTTTTGAACCAAAATTTTACTTTGATAAAACCGAAATTCTCGATTCTGTTTTCAGCCCGATCGGTGAAACGTTTCGCGCACGTATCAGACAATTTCCAGCGTTGGTAAACTGCTGTACAATTGATTGGTTTTGTCCGTGGCCAGAAGCTGCGCTTCAGGTTCGTGTTATACTTGTGCCATCTACTACTATAATATATGTTTATGAATAACGATATATTTTTCTGTACATTTTTATCTCTTCAAATACATATCTTCCCCTTGTATAATTTATATAGAGAAAAATATGAAATACGCGATAATGAAATTATATTAAATGCCGTTAATTATTTAAAAACTACATTTCAATTTGTAACATTTTAATAGATATTATAGTAATATTAATGTCTATTGATAAAATATAATAATGGAATATTTCTTCTCAATTTTTTTTTCTTTTTTGGCGTACAGTGTTAATTGCTGTTAAATAAAGTTTTTTATCAATTATCAATATTTTCTTTTTAGAGTGTCGCTATGAGATTCCTCGCCGACATACAAGACGAATCTATTACCAAAGACATATTGAAATCCATCGTGAGAATGTGCCAATATATGCATTCGAGTGTGATTGATGCAAGCGATCTCTTTCTTAAGGTAAATCGAAAAATTGGAGTGTATGTACGAGAGTGTGAAATATTACCGAGAGAAAAAAAATTGTAGAAATGATTCTATTCTATTATAAATAGTTGAATCGTGAACTTCTTTGGAATTTTTAATGTAATTTGAACGTGAAGACATCTAGGTGCTGCAAAGTCACAAGTCATAGTAATTTGTATTGAAAAAGTTATTTAATTTGACTTTGTATTTTATGTTTTTTCTTGAAGTTGAAATAGATAGTAAAGTTAAATAGAAGTAAAAATTCCAAAATTAAGTAATGTAAGACAAGTTTCTAATGTCCAATGATACCAGTTACGAATTCAAATCAACATTTATAAAATATGTACTACTTACGAATATTATTATTATATTTCTACTGATGTAGCATATTCGTCTTACAATTGTCCAGTCAAAATTAACGAGTATCTTCCAATATATGAACGAAACAGTGCTTCATGCTGTAATAATAACACGAAGGAGGGTTGCGAAATTCCTTTCTATTAAAATATATTATTCTAGGAATAATATAATTCAAAATTCTGACGTTAATTTACGTAACAGTAAATGTAAGCTGAATGTGCTAAAACGCACTTGGATCAAAAGGAAAATTATTTCCAGGAAAGAAATGAGTGACAATGAGAATTATGGAACGGTTAATTTTCTAACTTTTATTTAAAACAGAATTTCCTTTTTTATTACTGGCAACGAGACATTATGGTAATTGAGATACCATACAGCCTGTAAAAGAAATTTCTATCAGACCTCGAGTTTCTAGGAAATGAAATCTTGTTGAATAGGAATTCATTTTGTCACGGTATCTTACCTTTCTTCTTGTCGCTTTGAAACGGACGTGGCGTTTTATGCCATTTTTTTTTTTTTTTTCTTTTAAGACCATATTTAATTTCAAATTAAATTTTCTAATTAATTCATTGTATAATGTACAAGATATAGATCTAAGAGACGCAATAGATGATAGTAATGAGTTTGTTTTTCGTGCAGAGATAATATAATATTAATATAAATTTTTTAATATAATAGTTATTAAAATTTGTAATATAATATTAATATAAATTGACATAAATTTTTTAATGTCTCATTTATAGATGAACGTGGTCCAGGTATTTTCGCGCGAATTTACGATAAATAACTTTCAAATAAATTTATTTTCGTTTCAAATCGCCGCTTTAAACCGATATAGTGGTTGCTCGATATTTATAGTCCTTATAATTTATATGTTATTACATTGCTATTCCATCGAATTTTCTTAAATTTAAATTTTCATTTGAACGATCGATTCTGATAACGATGCAGTAATTCTTTCATTTATAGTAACATTTTTTAATTTTTACGAAAATTTTCCCAATGATCAAGAAAGAATTTCTCGTTTTATTGCGGCATGAAGATTTATTTTACAAAACACGGAAACAAATAACTAATTTTTTATAGAATAATATACGGAAGGATGCCTTTTGTTAAGTCATAAAAAAGAAAAAAAGAAAAAACAAAATGTTTTTCGCAGGAACTGAGTCGTCATAATTACGTTACGCCAACGTCGTATCTAGAACTGTTATCTGGTTACGGCAATCTCCTCGAAAAGAAGAAAACAGAGATACAAATGGCAGCATATCGTCTTTCTACTGGTACGTTACAGAGATTTCCAAGTTTCCCAATTTTACCTATTTAACAATAGATATTACCTACTTTAAAAAGTAACGACGAACATTTCGTAAAAGTACGTTTTACTCGGGACAATCTCCTCTACAAACCCCATTTAATGCAGAATGAGTCTTAATTAATTTTTAAGATCTTCATTCCATTTTATACAGAAATAGTATGAGGTATAACTTTACATAATTGATTCGCATAAAAAAAAAAAACGTAACATTCTTTGCCACTTTGACACTATTTTGTAAAACATTTATACCTCGCACCTCATTATCCAGAAATTAACTTGTTTAACGCAATTAAAGAAGCAGAAGTTCATTTCCACTGCTAAATATTATTATAACAAGTACTATATATTAGATATTTCGTATGTTTCTACAATTTACATATATTCTGCAGACTTTCACTATTTATATATAAATATATAAATTTCTCATAAATGCATCAAGATCCGCAGTTTACTTGTCACGATACGTTACAAACATCGTTTAACAATAACTTTTATAAATTTCATAGAAAATGATAAGTGTCCTTACATTTTTGAGCAACATCATCGAGACTCATCAAATCTTCTACCAAGATTATTCACGCGAGAATCGTTAAAAGCACCTTCCATCACGATAATACGACGATTGATTTGCTCTTGAAAAGAGCGGAGGTGACTCCAAAATTTCGAGGACCTTCGACTTTAAATTACTTCATTCGCACGAACGTTCGCAAAATTCTAATATGAAGAGTCTTCGAACCCGCGGATCACTCGCTGAATATAATATCTAGGGTTAAGGTTACGCCTTATACGATCCCCAAACTTGCGACGTTTCTTCAACTCTGTAAGTACCGACGAGAAAAAGTAATTCTTAACATGTGAACAAAACTGATAAATGATTTGATAAAGTTTGACAGGAAAAGTAACAAACTTAGTTTCGTATGATAATTAAAAAAATATTTTCAGCATATTAAATTAATTAGTGTCGTGACAAGTTTAAGACACAAAGAAAGCGTTTGAAATTCCCCTTTATATCGCCGTAACCTTTGGTTTTTGTGTCCTTGCTCTGAAATGTTCCGCTCAGAAAAGATTTTTTTTTTTTACTTACGAGAGAAATTAAAAATAGAGGAAAGAGAGAGGGAGAACGTCGAAGGACAATCAAGGAGTCAGTTTTCATGGGTCAGAGGTAAAGGACCCGAGGTGATAATTTTGATGGTGATAAATTAAGCAAAGCGTATCCAACGGAAGCGCTCGTGGCAACTTCAAGTTATCGATTTCTTCTACACAGGCTGGCCATAAATAATATCGCTGGCAGCATAGCTGGCAACAAAAACCACCTGCTAAATTTAGTGGAAATTTCCGAACACTGAAAATTAATCAGAGACGTAGACCAAGGTTATTTGCATCTTTTTCTTTGATTAACTCCATAGGTTCCATCATTGGGTTTCCATCATTCTTCGCGACTTGCTTCGTAATCACGATTTACTTCTTCATTCTTCCACGAATTAAATTTAATCTAGCTACTTAATTGGCTGATTTTTAATATAAATATTCTTAACTATCCAGTAATATTTATATTAAATTTCTAAAGTTTAACAGATTTTATTTTATATTTCACTATGTAACAAAATCTCTTGTTAAATGTCTTGAATTTTCGTTATCTAAGTCTAGTTGCTAAAGTATCGTGGTTACCAATATAAACACTTCGAAATTAGAATAAGTTTATTTTCATTTCTGCGATCGAGTAAATTTTCAACAATTTGTTCAGATATTAATATATTGTTAATATATAAGCCAATCATATTTTACTTTTTCATTGATTTCACGCTATTTTATTTAATTCTTTCGAAATTGAAATTTTCATTTCGGCGATCGATCCTCGTTAACAAAAAAATTATTCGTTAGTAATTCTTTCTTTTTTTTATAAAAATTTTTTCGCAATTATTTAAAAACAATATATACGCCACAGCGAACAGATTTTTTTATGCCCTTTGCTTTTGATGAAACTTCGTTTCAACGAATTTCATGCAATTAATGATTCCACCATCGCTCTCGACGCTTGCGGGAGATGCAACAGTTTACGACGAAAATGAAATAATTCACGCAATGGTAAAATACATTTTGTAAAATGCTTTCAGGCAACGTTAAAAATATACCGCTTCGATCTCGTTCGTTTCATTCTGTTCCATTCGCAGCTGTTATTTCATAAATTCACTTGCGTCAAAGAACTTAGAAATTAGATTTCATTAACACGCCAGGCTTCGTTGTGCAGTTCGAAAAATAGCTTTGCCAATTAGCATTATTTAATTTAATATTGCTATGGAAGCTTATCAGTTGAAAAAAAGAGAATCGATCGTTGAGTTGGTCCTCGCTTTGCCAATTATACTGAAACGCGATATCAGTAACAAATGAGAATTGAAATAAATATTTTTACGTAATTAAAGAAATTAATTAAATTAATTAAAAGATTCGTTAAATATCATATTTCGGACATTTTGAATATTTTTGTATGGTTGACGGTATAACCAGAGGATGACACACGATAACAAGGCATAAAATTGTAACGCGTGTATATACATACATACATTGTATGAATAAAATTAATTAATAAGTTTAATATATATATATATATATATATATAATTAATATACTATTTATATATTTATTTATATATATATTTAATACGTTTAATATATATTTAAGAATACACAAAATATATGAAATAAGAAACTATATATGTAAATATATGTATTATAAATTTCTGTTTGCCTGGCTATACATCTCTTTAACTGTGTCTTTCATTTAATTAACATGATAGTTCTCAAAGATCTGCAATCTAATTATTACTAGTGGAAACATTTCCTTGTTTTCAATTAATTAATTAATTCTTCCACCGTATTGTGGTGATTAATTGCAGTTACTTTTATACAGCACGAATTATGCGCGTGAATGATATAACTTAAGAAGTGCAACAAATGAATTTAAATTGAAATTAAGTAATACAGTCTGAAAGTTCTGCGGGACTTCCGCGAGCTAAGACATTTCATCAGAAATTCTATTAATTTCTCACAGGTCTGGATAAGCTCGCGAGCGCGGAAGTGGAGGTGAAAAATATGCAGCTATTACTCGCAGAGATGAAACCGAAGTTGGAGCAAGCGGCAAGAGCCACAGCTAGAATGATTGAAAAGATTACGCTTGATACCGTTAGTATCGTCAGTCATTATGGAAATGGGTCAGACAACGAGTCGGGAGTTTCCCTCTTGAAAATCAATTTCAAAAGAAATGCCTTTATCATCGGCGACTTTTAATAGCTATTAATTTTATTCTAATTGGTATGAACGATTGAATCACCTTAATTGCCTGTTCTTTTAAAATAGACTCTCGTGTAATAAATATTTAATTAATTCTAAATTATTGCAAATATATTGAACTCAACGAACCTTTTTAATTTAATTATTTAATATATACAAAATAGTTAATGTTAATTAGTATAAATAAAAAAGTAATATACTCAGTGGCGATTGAAGATGAATTTTACAGAGATACCTTACTTGACTAAGTTACATCTGTTTAATGTTAAAATATTAGAAGGATTGAAGTACGTGTATCACATTGAACAGTTTATATAAATTTTATGAAGTATCAGCTATTTATTAAAAATGAATATGGAACATGAGTGATATCAGATATATTTCTTATTTTAGAGTAAATTTAATACTTGACCACTTGACCTCAATTATTGTAATACGTAGAAAATTAATCTGAAATAATCATGGAAAAACAAAATGAAAATGTCAATCTTTGTAGTAAGTGTGCAATTATTTATGCACGATAATATCTGAGCAAAAAATTCAATTACATAGTTCAGCGGTATATAGTGAGAAACAAAAATCCTACAATTGAAATGCAGAAATAAGAAATGAAAGGAATGAATGAATTTAGTACATTTCAGGCAATTATTCTGTAGTCGCAGATAATGCTTAATGTTGGTTTTAAATTTAAAACAGAAGAAAAGAAGAGAAACATTTTTTATATTATTAAATATATTCAAACAGAATGATATTCGAACAATTTGAAACTCAAATTCAATGTAACTCAAAATGTTGTCTCTCTTTTTATTTCTATCTCAAATCAGTTGTACGAGTACTTTTATTTTTCATCGCAGATAGAAGCAGAGAAAACAAGAGCAGAGGCGAAAGAGCAAGAAGCAATAGCAGCGAGACTGAAGATAGAAAATCAAATGATCAGGGACGAAGCGGAAGAGGATTTGAGTGAGTTTCTGCATTATATTTCTCCTACTTTTTTTTTTTTGCTATACATGATTTGTTAGATTCTCTCACATTCGAGCTAACAGGGAGACTGAAGTGTTTAATTGTTAGAATTTTTGGATAATAGGACAATTACTTTTCTGATAGACTACATGTACTCAAATAGGAACCTCAAAAACAGAATTTTATATCTATTTTTTTTTTACTAATTATTTATGTTTGTACTAAACTGAAACGACAAGGAGGACTAAGATGACTTGAAGGATTAAGTATCAGTTTATGGAAACAAAATTTTGCATAAACGTAACATAAACACAATAGAATGTATAGCACTATAAGATGTCGCTTTAGCACAAACATAAATTGTTTAGCCTCGAGCATAATAAATATCGAATCGTGTGTACAGCATTATATTATTTTGTCGCATTTTCGACGGATCAATTACAAATTGTAGCCGCATGCACCAATGCACCATATCTGTAGATGCTGTAACACTGTCTGCATTGATTCACTAATGCGATACTATTATTTTGAACCACTGATCGATTTAATAATACTCTGTTTGTCACAGGTAAAGCTCGTCCGATGTTAATCGCCGCTGAAAAGAGCTTGAAAGCTTTAAACAGGAACGACATCACTGAGGTGAAAGCGATGAAGAGACCTCCAGTTGGCGTGCTTTTAGTCATCGAAACCATCTGTATTATAAATAATGTGAAGCCAATTAAGGTTTGTACGGGGACGATTCAATAATTATTTGTAATGTAATTATAAAATTTATCGTGATAGAACTCAATTTATATAGACCCTATTTACCTAAACCAAATTTTGGTCAATCCATCCAATTAAATGAACTCTTGCTGATTGAATCTGAATTCCTATTACATGAAACTCACTAGCAGAGCGGAAAATCAATGATTTTATTGTTATCATAATCAGTGAAAATTTTATTGTTATTCTATAGATTTTACAATGACAAATTACTTCTCAGTATAATCCTCTTGCGTGCCAATGCATCTGGCCCAAACTTTTTAATACCCTCAGAAAAATACAAAGCAAATCATGCTTTGCAACCAATTTTAAATTTATCGGTCCATTTATATATATCGGATTAAAAAAGAATCTGAAACTGTTCTTACTATGCTAAAGTTTCAGTCCCTCATACATATTTTTTCAAATTATAAAAACTGAATAACAGAGTGCTATTTCTTTTAATGAAAATATAAAATAATCGAGCTATTGTTGCTCTCGTGATAAACAAAAAAAAAGACTAAGCTATCTATGAAAAAGTATTACTGCATTGCTGATAAATAGTTATGCTGTCGCACAAAAGTTTTTAGGATAAATATTGTACTTGTTCTGAAACTCAGAAACTTAAATAATACATTATACAACAAAAAAAAAATCTACAAAATATTAATATAAGATCTATATATTATCAATTGCATTGTTATGTTTATTAATATAATAAACCGATTATTAATATATCATGTTAAATTGCGATAAATTGTGTATAAATTTGAATAATGCGAAATATATGATATACTGATGAATATTTGTTATTAAAAAAAAAATCCAATTCATTATACGCAAACATTGTAATCTCTTTCTTTGCTTCAGATAGTGAAGAATGCTGGAAGATTAGACGCAGAAGTGAAGCTGGATTACTGGACACCCGGTGTCCAGTTGCTCGCGGACCCAGGCCATTTTCTTTACACTATGGAGAACTACGACAAAGAGAGTATCACCGAAGAGATGATAAATAAACTGAAACCTTACATCGAAAACCCCGACTTTCAACCGTCAAAGGTATATACTTACAATTAGGATAGGCAAATATACGTTTCATGTAAACTGATAACATTAACTTTGATCGCTGGCGTCGCAGTGAGTTCATTTCGTTTTAAGTTTCTTCATTAAATGAAAACTTGCGATGTGATAAATATGTTACACCGGACGCGAAGAAATACGATCGGTTGTTACGTTCTCTTCTCCTCTTCCTCTTTTTCATAATTCTTTTATAAACTTACGCCCTTAAATAAACTTACTTTTTTTATGCGCAGTGTGTGACAGATTGAATTTACGATTAGAAACTGATATATATTATAGTTCCTTTTTCCAAAGCTAATTGATCATCTGAGTAAGTTCGCTTGTCAGCCCCATGGGATCCTATATTCATTCGTCCTTGATTTATGTTCCCTTCGAGATATCCTTGAAGAGCTCGTGAGCGTAGAATGGATCGTGAAACATTCAAAAGAAAAATTAGGGCGACATCCACATTACACAATGCCTACAAGGGATCGTGAAACATTCAAAAGACATGTAGATATTTTACAAAAATTAAAATAGCATATGAAATAACGATGTATGCTGTAATTGTATAAAGTATAAAAGATAAACCAGTTAGAAATTATTTATAATATATTAATAGTATTATAATATATAATGATTATATCATTGTATTGTATTATATATATAGTATATTATAAATTATAATATACAAAGTCAATTTTGTGTACAAATATAATATAATACATGTATGTATACATATATACAAGATTGTGATGTACATATGTAATATATGTATATTATAAACATATCAGAAACATAGTCAAAAATATAAATTCACTTTTGATCTCGAATTGAACTAAAGAATTATTTTTTCTGATCTTTTTAAGGAATCATATCATTCTCACTTTCGTTCGAGTTCCTCAAATGACTTGTTTTCCTATCCTATTAGATTATCTTTTAAGTTGCTAGTTTCTTGCATTTTAAACCAAAATTACTACTCCTTCTATCATATGCGTTCTGTGCATTTTTCCAATTTTAAATTTTCAAGAAAATCCGCCATCAAAAGTCCCCTTTGCATACCTCCTCGTAAAACTGATCGAATAAAATGAATTCTAGACGAAAATTTACGTCTTGACTGATTTACGGTGGTACTGAGAAAACTTATATAACTTAGGCGAACATTTTGTAACATAAAGATTTCTCTCTTTTCTTTTTTCTTTTTTTTTTTTTGAGACACGAAGTTTTCGTCAACAGAAAGAATTGCTATTAGGATCGCAAGAACATAAAGGATCAACCTGTTTCAGATCGAGTACGTATCAAAGGCGTGTCACTCACTGTGTCTGTGGGTTCACGCAATGTACAACTACTATTTCGTGAATCTAAAGGTGAAACCGAAGATGGAAGCACTGGCGAAAGCCGAAGAAGCACTAGTGGAAACGGAGAAAGCTCTAAATGCTGCGATACAAAGACTGAAGGAGGTGGAGGAAGGTATAGAACAGCTACAGAAACTGTTACAGGAAGAAGAGGATAGAAAAGCGGAACTCGAGAGGCAAAAGCAGCTTTGCGAGGATAGAATGGGAAGAGCCGTCAGGTTGATCGACGGTCTCGCTGGGGAACAGATACGTTGGACTTCCACCGTGGCTGAACTAAAGAAGTCCTTGAAAAACGCTGTCGGCGATATCCTTTTAGCTTCCGGTGAGGACATCTATTTCAGTAATTTTACTTGTTCGTTTTTTCACGCGTGTAGGAAAGTTCTTAATGCGTTACGTAGATTGAAATTGATCGCTTTCATATATATTTTCGGCAAATAAGATATCAATGTCAATTTGACCAGAAAGTACATGTCCGGATTCCTACAATATATTTTCTTCATTGTCATCATACAGATACATACAAAAATACAAATATATAAATACATACAAAAATGCGAAACTTTTCATAACATTTAGTAAGAGAAACAAAACTTTTCATAACATTTAGTAAGAGAAACTAAAGAAATTTCATATATTGTAATATAATATTATGGATTTTATAAAATTTAGTGAAGAAAATAATTTAATGTCCGGACTTCTCTTTTTCAATTATATTAATTTTCTGTATTTGCAAAAATATCCGTGCTCTTGTCGTATTTTCTAACGTGTAATTTATTGTACAGCGACTCGAAGATTTATCATAAAAGAAAACTTTTGTATGTTTTGTAAAAAGTTTTGAAAAACATACAATAATAAAAGAAGACTATTACAACCACTCTGTATTACATTGTACTAATAAAATTTGGAGCCAATTTAAAAATACAAGGTATTTATTGCAAATATTCAGTAAAAAATTAATATACAGCGTGAATATGATACAGATACGTAAAGATGATTTAAGATGAGTATTAGGACTTATTAATACAATGAATAATTAACTATTGAAGTATACTTTTGTAATGTGTGCGATACAAATACTTGTATCAACTGATCTTCGATGTAATATATCTACTAATGATGTTCACTCTAATATTTAATTGTAATTGCAGGTGCAATAGCCTATTTGACGCCATTTACGGACACATATCGAGAAACGCTTTTATCATCCTGGAAAAAAGTTCTTGGCGAGGGTGTACCACACACGCCGGGCAGCGATCCCGTATCAACTCTTGGTGATCAAGTGGAGATAAGAAAGTGGCAAATCGAGGGTTTACCCAGAGATATGTTGTCTGTCGAAAATGCTGTTCTCGCAATGCACTCGAAACGCTGGCCGCTTTTTATCGATCCACAAGCACAAGCAAATAAATGGATACGCTCTTTGGTAACTAACAATGATATCAAGTAATATCGATCGATAAACAGTAAGAAGAAATGGAATTACAGTTGCTCACGAAATTATTCGAATACTTATTGAAACTTTTTATAAATATATTATATTAATTGTATTAGAAAATAAAAATTTTAAAATTTAGTTAATATTGTAGCGAGATCTGGGTGTTATTGTTGATTGAATTTAAAACGAAAAAGTTAAAAGGTTAAAAGAAATTTAATATAAATATATATTTTATTATAAAATAAATTATAAAAGTATTAAAGTGAAGGGAAACTTTTATGAATATATTATGTGCATTATATAAAATGTTTTGATATTTTATTAATACTGTTTTAATAACACGATTATCATGATACGATGCAGTAATAAAGATCTAAAACTAAATACATAGAAATTACAAGATATATTTAATACAAACATATATTTCGCAGGGATTGTAAAAATATTTAAGCTATAATTCGTGATATCAACAAGCTTGAACATTCATCTTTAATACTTCAGACGATTATTCATGCTCCATGCTAATTTTTTACTAAATATACATTACAATGCAATAAATATCCTGTATCTTCTGTACACATTTTCAGATTTCATTGAAATTTTATCAATATACTTGTAATCATGATAATCGTCTCTCAAATTCTCCTATAATAAATGTTTGAACAGTTTCGTAAGCCACTGTACATCCTTTAATCAATCAAGATGATCTATATTTATTTGCACTGCCCGATAGTTTAACAACTTGATATATTGACAATTTTGTACAATAGTACTTCCACTACATAGTTTAACAAGGTCACTGTGTAATTCTTCAAATTTCTAACATCCTTATCAATATATATAGTCTAAAGATCGTTTAATGACTATTCTTCATGGGAAATTAGTACAAAGACAACGGCATATCAGTGGCAAAAATGACAGACAGAGAGCTCCTCCGCGTCCTCGAGTCGTGCGTCCGATTCGGAAGGGCTTGTCTTATCGAGAACATCGGACTCGAGTTGGAAGCTGGTCTGGATCCGATTCTCATGAGATCGTTATTTGAGCATGGTGGCCAATGGTGCGTTAAGATTGGGGAGAACTTCGTTCCCTACAACTCAGATTTTCGACTCTTCCTCACCACAAGACTTTCGAATCCTCACTACACGCCGGAAATATGCGTGAAAATACTGCTGGTCAATTTCGCGCTCACCGCCACGTAAGCTCTTGCTACAAGTCTGCATTTCCTTTTCAAATTATTTAATTAATTAAACACATATATTCAGGGTTCCTATTTATATTTTGCAAACACTTTACTTTATTAATAACATTAATATAATTTACTCTGTTGTTTATACTATCGAACAAGCCGTTATAAAGAACAAAAAGAGAAACATACAACATATAAAATATAAAAAGCACTTCACCTTGGATAGATTTTTTTATATTTTTCCATATTACGTGCATTCGTGCAATTGTGCAGTCTAAAATTTTCTACAAGATGCAATGAACGTGATACAAGCAAAAAATTAGAAAATATGAAAATATAATGACAACGTTAGAATTGAAATAAAAATCAATGAAAGTCGGTATAAAATTAACTGCAAAAATATGAACTGTAAAAAGAGGTTTCGAGGACCAGATGCTGTCGTTGGTTGCCATTCAAGAACGACCCGACCTTGAACAAGCGCGAAACGCTTTAATCATATCGAACGCCGAAATGAGAAGAGAACTGAAGGAAATAGAAGATAGAATTCTATATCGATTGTCAGTGTCTGAAGGTTCTGCCGTTGACGACATGGATCTTATCCTCACTTTGGAGGCGTCCAAGCTTAAAAGCGAGGAGATCAAGGTTCACTTTAATCGAATATTATTCTCATAAAAATTGTATAAAGTGTATATATATTTATTTATTTATTTATCGTTTATTACTACATTACTCTTGAGAAAAAGAAACAAAAGAAAGGGAAATTAGAAAGTAATTATAATTAAATATTACTGAAAAAGAATTTTTAAGGACATAAAGAAATGGCTTTCAAAAGTCATTTGAAAGCTTAAGTCATTCAAATAGCTTTCTTATGTTACTTTATATTATAAATATGATTTATGAAATTAATCCTCAGACGACTAAGTTAAATGCAGGCTCTACTCGGTCTTAAAGTAATTAATTTAATTTCTCTTTTATTAAGTAAAGAGAAATTGTATATACATCTATTAATACAAAATTGTATTACATTAATTAGTGATATTATATTAATTATTGCTTACGGATGTTTATTTTACATATTTATGTAGATAATTAAAAAAAATGGAAGCTAAGTGCAAAAAATTATATTATCTACTATTAAAATGTTATTATTACTGCTTTAAATATTATTATTTAAAGACCATTGTACTTAGTGTTTTGGATTCGACATTTTTCATATTTAAATCACAGTGCGTTTAAATCGAGAAAAAAAACCATGAGCAACAATGGAAAATCTTATGGAATTTTTTGCATTCGGGTAATATAAAGTATAAAAAAATAGGTACACACTTTAGTCATTCTGCGATCAAGAGAAATTCGTTTTATTCCAGAATGAAAGTGACAAAACTTTTCTTCAAAACAAATCACTCTTATTGTTAGAAAGAGAGACTCGAAAAAAAAGAAAACAGAATCTTTTCTGGTCATAAGTAAAACAAATTCACCTTTATAACGTGTAGGTGAAAATGAAAGAGGCTGAAATTACTCAAGCGGACATCGACATAACTAGGTCGCTATACATACCGGTCGCGATTCGTGCTCGTATCCTGTTCTTTTGTCTCTCCGACCTGCAATTTATCGACACGATGTATCAGTACTCGCTCGAGTGGTTCGTCGAGATATTCAACAACAGCATACTCGCGACAGAAAAAAGCGGTGAGAAACTGATCCTCCTCCGTTAATTATATCATTTTGTGGACAGCTGGTGCAACTCGACTTAATCCCTTGGCTAATTAACATGAATGCTCACGGTTCGAATGAACGATGCAAACAGAGATATCCTGAGTTTACAAATTACAAGGCAGGCATAAGAAAAATCGACACTTTTTCGGAAACGACATGTAGGAAAAAGAAAGAATTAGGCAAGGGATTGAAAGATTAGAGGTACACGATGACACTTTTGTGTGCAGATTAAGTATAATAGATTCAGTGCACGATTTGTCTAGAGCAAATTGTACTGCAATAAGGAGATAGCACCACTTTCGAATAATTTTGATAAAGCAACAAGAAAGCAAGCTATAAAAATTAACTATTATCTCAAACGTGCTGTTGTAACGTGAATTTACGGTATTCGTGGTAATAAATTTTTACCTACAGCTAATTCATTTTTACAGCAAGTGAAAGATCACATTTTCTTTGACGGGGATATATATAATTATTTTAGCATAGGATATGTAATCAAAAATGTGCAAAAGGTGAAGCTATCTTCTTCTATGCTGCAGGCAAAGCATTTAACTTCAATTCGATTTTCAATCTAGCTGTAATTTAAAATAGCTGTGTGAATAGATCGAATTTAGCGTCACTGATGGCTCTGATCGAATTTCGACATTTCAAAACGAAACAGCAAAACTTCTAGTATTCTTTTTTTTTGAATGTGTTCCATTGATTGTTCTCGTATTAATTCTTTTCATTTCTTCTAAATCCATGAATTCGATCTATGATTACAGATTAACAATTCGCTCACGCAGTTCATAAATGTAAAATGATGAAACCAATTTTTCCAGGCGAAATTCAGACACGAGTGGAGAATATCAATCGCAAGTTCATGTTCTCGCTGTTCTCGAACGTGTGCCGTAGTCTATTTGAAAAACACAAGCTTCATTTCGCGTTCCTCGTGTGCGTCAGAATTCGTATGAATGACAATTTAATCGACGCGATCGAATGGAGGCACCTTTTGTCAGGACCTGAGCCATTGAAAGTAAGAAACACAATGAATGTAGTGAATCGCCGTAATTCGCTGTTCGGCTGATTAATGCGGACGAACAAATTTTCAAAAGCGAATCAAGACACCAATCAATTGCATTTATGTAGCATTGTAATCGATAGATTCGTGGAATTTCATGCATCTCTGCGATCACATTTTGAGGCGACACAGTGACACAATAACCATGATAGTGATACAATAAATAGTAGCGTGAGGTATATTCACGTTATTACGAGAAGTAATGTTGCTTGAATTTTCATAATTAAGGAATAATTATGAAACAGTCTCATTTGATGTATATTTTACTATATATATATACTATATTTTAATATATATATATATACTATATATATAGTATATTTTAATATATATATTTTATATTTTATATTTTAATATAGTATATATATATAGTATATTTTAACATATATATTTTATATTTTATATTTTAATATAGTATATATATATAGTATATTTTAATATATATATTTTATATTTTATATTTTAATAAAGTATATATATAGTATATTTTAATATATTTTAATATATTACTTATATATATTTAAACGTATCCAAATACACATGGACAGTAATGCATATCTCATTCGTACTTTTTTTTGAAAATAAAATATCTTTTATTGCAAAGAGATCAAAAATACAAAATACAAGAATGAAGAATTTCAATGTTAACTACAGTAGACTTTATTAATCGTGAATAATCAAATCGCTTGTGGCGAAGATAAACTCAAGGGACGCTATTCAAAACACGAATACATCGTTGGAATTCCGATTAAATAAAATTCTGTGCACGAATTTTGAAAAATTTGTTTTCAAGTTTTGTCCGGAATACGTGTTTCGCTGAAAAAGTGTAATTACGAGATTAACACACTTTTGGCGGAAATTTTTGAGTAAATATGTTGTAGCAATGTTCCGAGAGAGAATTTCAGCTGCACAGAATTTATATCCGAATAGAAATAGTTTTAAAATTTCTATGGAACATATACATATATATATATATGTCTCTCTGATAATGGAACTATTAAGGGGATAAAAACTTCCCTCAAAATACAAAAGGATAAAGTAATTGATGAAATTAGGATTTCTTTTAACGACAAATTCGACAAATTTACGGCGTAAATTATGTAGTTACTTTGACTTATTGAAGCGTATGTTTATTCGAACTATTCCAATTTTTGTACTGCAACGCCGTTCAACGAGCATGCAAAAATAATTTGAAAAATTCCACGCTAACAGTTCCCACTCACAAACGAAATATCCACCTATAGAATTGTTTTATAAATTCCACATTTCGTTTCGATATGCCCTTTGATGCGTTGCTAATTAAAGTGACACGAATTAATACAGTCGGAACGCGAGTTTTTCCATTAAAACACGAGGAACACAGAAGCAATTGAAAAGTTCATAATGTTAAATCTATCGACATGCAATCATATTACTCGTAGCAAATTGAAACATATCTTACAAAGAGATTGAAGATTTTTATGTATTTTTATATTCTTATGAAGCTAAGGGAAAATATTACAATAATTATTCTACTTTATATATTTTATGTATTTTTGTAATTTCAAATGTTCCATAAATTTGTGGAAATTCGCAATTTATTCAGAAGTTCTCGACTGCGAAAAAGCGGAGAAAAATTAAAAACGTCGTACAATTTAAATTTTATTTGAAAAACAAGCAAAGCTTTCTCGCGAAAGAACAGAAAATCCCGTGAAAAATAATGAATAAATTTGACGTATAAATCATACTGCTTGCAAAAATCGTTAATGGAAAGGCGTATCTATCATATCACAATTTTTCAACGGGCAAGAAAAGATGCTACGCAAATAATTAGAAGAAATTAAGAAAAATACAGGAGAAAGTAACTAATGAAACTTCAAAAAGTTTTTTAGACTTCTGGAATCAATCGAAAAATGTCCCTGCGATATTTTCTTACTGGGAATTACGTTATGCCTTTTCTTCTGAAATGTTGAAAACATTGCAAAATAGAAAGATGATATAAAGAAATGTAAAGACTAGGAAACACGGAACTCACCGGATCCACCAGTTTCTTGAAATTTAATATCATTAAATAGATTTCATAGAATTACATAAAGTAAGAGACCTAAATGCTGAGAAATTATCTAAAATACTTTCTAACTTTTTTTTACAATAAATGATAATTTAATTGGGTTACGATGTTACGAAAAACTCCGAAAGTTGAGGAACGTGAAATGAAAGAAATTTTTTGCTGACGTAAATTTCCGGTATTTTATATGAACGCATTAAAAATGTTTTCCCCTCGCAGGAAGTTCCAAATCCGGAACCGAAATGGATTACCCCACGTTGCTGGAAGGAGATTCAGGCGCTTGAAAATCTCCCCAACTTTCACGGGTTTATCGACTCGTTCAAGGGATCATCGACCGAATTTAGAAGCGTGTTCGACGCTCAGGAGGCACATTTGTGAGTAATATTAAAAGTTGCTCTTCCCATTCATCAAAACGAGTTATCAAACGTCTGTTACGAGATAAGCACAGGCATAATTTCTCGTGATAATATTCTGACATTTGTAGGTACTTTTTATGTATATATTATGGCTATATTTCATGTATATATTATACAAAACGTTCTAAAGTTTCGTCAATGGTAGGATCCGTCCATCATAATTATTTATATCGACGAAGTGTGAAACAAGTCCAATTACAAGATATTCGATACAAGCATACGTTTAATACTTCATATTTAATACAAACAGATGTCAGAATATTACATCAATAAATTCTAATATTCAGTTGGACTATATTTAGCACTTATCACATGTTTAAGACGCCTGTTCGTAATAATTTTTTATCGAACATATGTTTGCAATAAATTTCTAAATATTTTACGTCTGTACATATTTTCGAAATTGATTCGAAATTTTGCTAGTACTTACCGTAATAGTTGTTTGACATTATGATACTGACAAAGTTTCAAAATGCTTCGTAAAACACGTAATGCACGTACAGGAGAAAGTTTGATTACTTTCGTGAGTCAGTGTACATATTAGAGAAAACTTACGATGTATGTCCTATCTATTAAATTTAGACTAAATTAAACAGATAAATGAATAAAATTCGAAATCAATCTCTGCAATATTTTCATACTGAAAATTACGTTTTACTTTGTTTTTTTTTCTTTTTTTCTTTTTTGAGTTAGACACGTCACTTTTGTCGCGCGTGCGACGTGATACACAAATTTCACAAATTTTTTTATTTATTTAGATTTCAAATTTATTATAGAAACTCTTAACTTATCTCGCGAATGAATTTACGTATTTTAGGCATATTTTATATATACGATCTTATATGAATGCTTATTTTATATCGATAATCTTGAGATAATTTTCTGAATGAGAATTTAACATGCGATTGGAACATGTATTAAATTTTCTATAAAAGATGAATGTTTTTTTGACAGTCGTCGTTGTGTGAAACAAAAAGAAATTTTCGTACCATAAATTCGTGCTTATATTTTTATCATAGTGAATTTATGTGAACCTATCACAGTGAATTTATCACAGAATATCGTTTTATCATATTCATTCAGTAATATATTTCAGTTCTCGTTATAGGTACGTATTTTACACGGCTTTATAATCAAAGGAGAATAGCATGCATTTATAGATAACCAGTAACAATGAGAAAAATGGGTATTACGTTCGTACAGAAAGAATTAAGATTAACTGTTATAATACTGCAGCGCCATTATTTTCAATCCTATTAAAATTTAACGAATATGTAGTTTAATAAAAACGCAGCGTAGGTTGTTCGTTGTATCCATTTAAAAAATTGCTCCCTTTCAACGTTAAAAAAAGAAAGAAAAATATAAAATTTCACAGTCTAAATAATATTTATATGGATAGTCTTGCGTGATCTTCTTTCTGGTAAATCAGACACAATAAATTTGTATATTTCCACTGGATACAAAATGACTCACTTTTATGTATATATCACTAATTAATAATGCATCATATTGTTTAATTTAATTTTTTTTAATATCTCAATACAACATATTGATATTATATTAAATATAAATAAATATAAATAAATAAATAATCGCACAATTTATTAAATATAAATAAATATAAATAGATAAATAATCGCACAAAATACATATTATGAATGTTTATTGCGATACGCGAAACCATGATTTTATATGTACTAACAGACTATTATTTATTGCGCGCCAATTACATACGTATCTATCAAAATGTCCCTTCGATCTGAACGCAATGTTAACTCTCTCTGACTGTCGGCAAATGTTCGGGGCGTGATCTGTATCAATCAGAGATCAAACGAGATTTTCTTTCCGGCAAGCGAACCATCCCTTGTCCGGATTTCTTTCCTCCTGAGAAAATTGAGGAAAACTCTCTCGTTTCCCTTTCCATCGACTTCGAAAGTTTTTGAGCCTCAAGGTGGGAGCAAATCGTTGACATCATTTGTCAAGGCTTCGCGCGGAGCTAGTTTTTGCTGAAGTATTTTCGTGAACCTCGCCTAAGAAGACGCCGCACGAACTATGGCATGCTATTAAGATACGCACGGACATAACTTTCGGGTAACACTCCAGTTCTAATGAGCCCAGCATAAGGCTTGTTGGGTTTTCTCTTCAAAAAAGAGCGTGCCATGAATCAGGCCAGCGCTCGAAGCTCCCGAACAATGAATATATTATACGTGTATATATTTGGAAACTTCGTAATGAGAAACAACTATTATAATCGTAAATCATTATGATGCGTAATTATATTTGAAAGTTTTATTCTTTAATATACAATATAATTAACATTTATACGTATATTATAAACATATATAACACATATAATACATATAACATTTATATGTATTTAAATGTACATTATACAATACAATGTACATTTCATTCTTTAATATACTTTAATATACAATGTCGCGATATTCGTACTCGGAAAATTTCAACTCGTACGTAGAAAGCGTGCGCGAAGAAATTTCTTAAAATTAACATTCTCCCTTTTGCTCTCACATCGTGCAATTTCTAAATATGCTCCTTTGCGTAGAACTGCGTATCCGGAACCGTGGCACTCGAAATTAGACGACTTTCAAAAGATGCTGTTACTGAAGTGCCTGCGACCCGACAAAGTGACCAACGCGATGCAGCTGTACCTGGCCAAGTATTTAGGTCAAGAATTCATCGAACCGCAAACTGCCGAACTGTCGGCAATTTACAACGAATCTTCGCCAACTACACCCATTGTGTTCATCCTGTCCGCCGGTACAGATCCTGCAGCGGAGCTCTACAAATTTGCGGACAAGTTGAAGATGACTGCGAAGTTGCGCGCTATCTCGCTCGGACAGGGACAAGGGCCGAAAGCGGAAGCGATGTTGAAGCTGTCGGCAGAACATGGTTACTGGTGCTTCTTTCAAGTATGAATTTTCTTACAATGAACGGTCGACTGTGACACAACAAATTTTCACCTGATTTGAGAATCAATCTTCTTTCAATCTGTCTGACTGTCATATGGTAAACGATTTACCGATCGTTTGCACTTTCTTTTCAATTATATTTAATAAATAATGATATGCAGTGATCTACTATAAACTATACTATAAACTATACTGTAACTATACTATAAACTATACTGTAACTATACTATAAACTATACTATAAACTATACTGCAACTATACTATAAACTATACTATAACTATATTATAAACTATACTATAACTATATTATAAACTATACTATAACTATACTATAAACTATACTATAACTATACTATAAACTGTGCTATAACTATACTATAACTAGAATAAATTAAATCACATATGCATAATTATATTTAAATATATAATATAATTATAGTGAAAAATTGTATAAATAACTTAATAATTTTATTCGATAGAAAAGAAGAGGACGTGTTTGTATAATTTTCTATTTTAAAATACTACACTCTTTAAATGTTTCATAATATCGACGACATCGACGAGTAACTTTTTAATAAACCAATCCAAAGTTCGATTCAAAGAAATGAACAAGTAATTCGTTTCACGCAATCACATAGTCACAAGACAAATAGTCCAAAATGTTTCCATACATCACAATAAAATTTATTTTGCATTGCATAATTTTAGTACGAGGAACTGTCAGCAATCGCATGTAAATTACTTTTATTATATGATTTAATTACATACTTCGATCACATTTTTTTTAATACAACGAATTCAATTATATTTCATTTAATTTAGTTATACGTCTGTTTTCCTCCTTTACGCGATACGTTATTTACGGGAATGTCTTTTTATAGTAAAATAAATAAATAATTCCTCTGTTTTCACGGAAATTTTACACATTTTAACTTACGCGACCTTATTTTTCTTCTCTTCCATTATTGATAATTACTCTTTGCAGGAAGTAATATTACTTAACTTAATAAAGTATAGTAGAGCCTCATTTATTCAAACTTTTATTTTATGAAAATTTTAATATCCAATCGTTATATTACTGCAGTAAAGTAATGATGATTACCGTAATAAAGTGATGATTTTCCAGTTAATGTTAATAGACGATCTTATTAGGTGATACAGCAATGAGTAATTCAAAATACTGATTCAAATAAAGGAGATTCAACTGTGCCAATAATAGTCACTAGCAACAATTCCCGTTGAATTGTTTATGAAAGTATGTGAAATAAATCTTTTTATCATTTACATCGGCTTCTTTCCTTTAATATTTTGCTAGTGGTCTCCTTTTATGCGATTTTTTTAGAAATTCGAGTCGGGTCGAGTTCCCAAAAATTTCGAGATTCCCGAAGGAATCGGGTTTCCAGAAAATTTCGGGACCCGATTACCGTTTCTCGAACTACTCTACAACGCTGTGTAGCAGCCTACAAAATATGTAAATACACAGTTCAATTTCTTCTGCCAGTGAAATTATTGGAAACACGGATTCTAAGAATCGTGCGACCTGATGTATACAAACGTGTGACTGCGTGCTTAGTACTTGAGCATTATGTACGCTGTTGATCAGTATCGTTGAGGAATTCGGGGAGCTCGGACGTATATTTCAAAATCTATGTGAATTTAATAAAGACTTAAAATCATTAAAAAAAATGTCGAGTGATAGTGAGAGTAAAATTGTGGTAGCAGGAAGTAGTGCAGAAGATATCGTGTAAAGGAAGAAAGTAAAGAAAAGTTCTGTTTGGGAACATTTTCAAGAAAAAGATGATACAAAAGCGGAACGCACGCATTGTCACCATGAATTTAAAACTAAGTATGCAAATGGTTTATTACGCCATTTGAAGCATATCCATCCAAACATAAGTATATGTACTAGAAAAGAAACTGAATCGATATAAAATTTGTCGCATGTACAAAATGATACGCAAAAGATTGTTAAACCAAAAGATATAACAGAAGGAATTGCTCGAATGATGGTTCTAGATCTGCGACCTTTCGATACAGTGGGCTTTAACGATTATTTAAGCTTGTTTCCAATCCTTTCCCAAATTCCAACTCTTTCGGGAATCCCGATTCTTTCGAGAATCCCGGCTTTTTCGAAAATCCCGACTTTTTCGAGAATCCTGATAAATTCGAGAATCTCGAAATTTTCTGGTTATTATTATTACAGAGAAAAATATTATTAGTACAGAGAAAAATAATCCCCTATATTAAAACAGTCATATATATATAACAATATTATATATATATATAAAACAGTACAATACATAAGTTACAATATATATATATATATATATATATATATATATATATATATATATATATATATATATATGTTTTAATATAGGGAATTGTTTTTCTCTGTACTAATAATAATAATCAGAAAATTTCGAAATTCTCGAATTTACCGGGATTCTCGAAAAAGTCGGGATTTTCGAAAAAGCCGGGATTCTCGAAAGAATCGGGATTTCCGAAAGAGTTGGAATTTGGGAAAGGATTGGGAACAAGCTTAAATAATTCGTTGAAGCTCACGTTTTCAACTGTATCACATATATATATATAGACTATTTTAATATAGGGAATTGTTTTTCTCTGTACTAATAATAAATGTTACATAAATACTATTGCTAGACCGCAATTTCATACATCACGAACACAACGATAGAATTGCAACTTCGATAAATGTTTATGAAAAATAAGTACTTTCTACTTTCGATGGATTACGCGTTTCTGCATAGTTTTATATTTTGCATTTTTACATGCTTCTGTCTTCGTTAAACGTAAAAAAAAAATCCACAGCTTAATTATCGCACAAATACTATTCATTTACTACCCTCGCTATTATAATTATGCAATGCTAAATAAATTTAAACAAGACTTTTGGAGTAACTGTGTTTGGCAGACAGAGACATCGATCACGCATTTATACGAATCACCATGATACATCCGACCTTAATGGAATTCGGAGTTTCGTTACGACCTGTGTTGCGAAATATTGGAAACGTCGATCAGACAAATATATCCTCGTTTCAAGAAACAAGACAGAAATCCCTCGAAGGCGATAAAACACGGAGCAAAGGGAAGAAAGTGGCATCCCCTTTATCTTCGAGGCATATGTAAAAAAGATGTAGGAGGAAATGATTTACCGCACGATAAGATGAAATACTATTATGGCTGCTCGACGAGGAAATAAAGATCCAGAGATGTATATTTCGATTAAGATGATGGAAATCAAAAAGTTTTTTATATACCTTGTTGGATCACGGTGCAACTTTAAGTAAAAAAAATGGAAAATATTTATTGATGTCGAAAATTGAATTCCTTGATTTGATGATTTGATTGTAAAAGGAGAAACGAAACACAAAGTAATGCTTAATTGCATAGCAACGAGAAAGAAGAATGAAATGTGAGGGGAATGTTCAATCCCAGATGAAAGTCGTATTCCTTATTATCGTGTTATTTTCATTTTCTCTCTTTTCCTTATTCCGAACAGAATTAAATTCATCGGAAAGAATCACGTTTAATTTGCTTCGCAGAAGTAAAAGATTTCTCCTTAGAAGTGATATTAATAAAACAGATTTATTACTAATTAAAATTTATTACTAATTAATAATTTATTATAATTAAAATGATAACACGGCAGAAGAAATGTTCACGAATCTGGATTTTTAAATAGAAATTATTGTGCTTAAAAATTCAATAAATTAATAAATTAATGAACAACATATATTTAAGTATATATTCATGATATACATAGAAATTTAAAATATAAGAAATATAAGAAATACGCATGATATACAAGATAGAACAAATTTTATTTTAGATTCAATATCCTCAGTTGCATTGTTAGGTATCTAAAATAAAATAACATAAACGTCTATGATCTAATATAATAAAAATTAATTAAAAATAGATAAATAAGTTCGTTTAAATCTTAATTGACTAATCTAATATCTAACATGTTTATATATTTTTACAGAATTGTCATTTAGCTCCGAGTTGGATGCCAGAACTGGATTCGCTGGTCGAGCGTTTATCACGGGCGAGAAACCATCGTGATTTTCGTTTATGGCTTACCTCCGCACCTTCACCAGACTTTCCCGTCAGCATTCTTCAGAACAGCAGCAAAATGACGGTCGAACCACCACGGGGAATAAAAGTAAAACAATCACAGCATTTGAGATTCAAAGCCTTACTTTGCTCTTTTACCCCCATTGGAGATCATCTTATTTTATCCCTCGTACTTTAAATGTTGCATTTATTCAAACAAATTAAAGTTTTCTCCTTTTTTTTCGTTTTTTTATTAACATCACTTTTATATTTGTAAGTATAAGCAGTCAATACATTGATTTAACGTTGCACAATTTTAATAGAAAAAACAGTGAAACGAATAATATTTATGTAACAACATTTAGAAATCTCACATTGGTTATTTAGTACAGAGGGAAAGGATTTACATCCGTTTGTTAACAATTCTTTTGATTAAAATTATGCAACGCCATTTTAATGGTGTACGGAAATATTTTAGATTAAGCTGCACATATATCTTTTAAATATTTTATGCAGTAATGTCGATTGCGATTGCATGTGTATAGTTATTTATTTTTCGAGATCGAATGGACACGCGAACTATGTTAAAAATGAAAATAACTGATTCTATCTCTTTCCGTTTGAATTAAACTCAAACATTAAACTCAAAGAGCAAACGTATTCTCTTTCAGGCAAATATGTTCAGATCCTACCTAACTCAAGTAACAGAAATGCAGAGCTTTATAAACTCTGATCACCCGAAAGTTCAACATTTTAAATGGATGGTATTTTCTTTGTGCCTGTTTCACTCGGTGTTATTGGAACGTCGGAAGTTCGGTTCGTTGGGATTCAACATAGCGTACGAATTCACCGACGGCGATTTAAGGATATGCATATCGCAGCTACACATGTTTCTGTTGGAATACGACACTGTCCCGTTTAAGGTAAAGCTTTAACATAGAGTGTCTTTGCTAATTTAACCTGGGTAAAGTGAAACTTACAGTAGAAAAATAAAATAACATAGATGAAACGCACATAGAAGTACAAAATTTTTAATTTACTATATAAACTAAAGATAAAATTATGGTGTAACTTAGTCTGTTATCATTTCGATTTATTCTATCGAAACAGGTACTAGTATACACAGCTGGTCATATTAATTATGGAGGCCGAATAACAGACGACTGGGATCGTCGATGCGTGCTGACCATTTTGCAAGATTTTTATAAACCAGAAATTTTGTCGACGTCGCATAAATTTGACGAAGAAGGATATTACGCTCAGGTATGTTCTATTATTATAGGGTATATTTAACCCTTAAATACTATGAATATTGAAGTTTATTAACTACTGTAGGAAATCTCACAGATCGCTAATATTTTCCTCCTGGATCCTCCTTTTCGACTTTAAATAATATCGACGTGAAGCAAATCTTTCGCTAATATTTCAAAAAATAATATTTGAAAGTACATATACGACAGATACATATACAAACGGAGGACTTGACACAAGAAGATGTTATCACGTACAATAATAAAAATATGTACAAATAGGTTTCGTACTCTATAAAATAAAGCTCTGAACAATTGTGGACAGAATCAAATAGTCGATATTTTCCGTGAACACTTTGAAAATGAATGATACAATGTATTAACGATAAATTTGACAGAAAGAAGCGTTACCATTTTTATCGTAGTAACAATGGATGACATCCATGTCATCGTAGTAACAATAGCACTCGTAAAGAGTGCCCCTATAAAGTGGGGCTCGAGTCGAGAAATTTACAAGTAGATATTGAACTCGATCCTTTCATATCGTATTATCATAAAACGATCTCTTCGTTCTTTTATATCACGAGGGATCTCAACTCTCGAATATTTCTTCCGACTTGAATATTTTCTCGTTCTATCGCCTGGTTCAGCTGTCGGACACGGCGAGGTTCGAGGACTACATCGAATACATAAAAACTTTCCCACTCAACGACGATCCGTCGATGTTCGGAATGCATCCAAACGCGGACATCAGTTTCGCACAAGCAGAAACGTACGCGTGTCTGAACACGTTGCTCGCACTTCAGCCACGACAAGTCGGAGTCGAGGCCGCGAGCGTCGAGGAAGTCACCGCTCATTTAGCTGAAGATATGCTGTCGACGATACCACGAACCTTCAACTTGGCGATTATACAGCAAAAGTATGATGATAATTATGTTTTATAAAGAGCGCAGTACTGTTTACGGGTGGATGAAGAATGCTTGGAGGAAAAATTAATAGATCGAACTTCCTACATTTCCGTAGGATAAATCAATATTTCTCAACACTTTCAATTCTGGTCTGCTCTTCTTCTGTGGGACTATGTATATACACGTGTGTGCATTATTTTATATTTTTTTTAGTTTGCCTGATAATGTACGTACTGCTATTTTTGGTAATCGTGACAATAGTAAATGTTGGATGGTTCATATAGTTGCAGAGTGGAAAAGAATATTATTTTCTACGTAAGTAATTCTCTAGAAATTTTTATCGTAGCCTCTCAGTTTTTATAAATAACTTCTAAATTACTGTGTTTCTATTCATCTTATTGAGCATAGAAGCATCTAAAATTATTGGAACACGTACGTTCCAGTTTTTTAAAAACTGACGCACAAATTTCACATTTCATATATACTTATCCCCTATTTGGCACTATAAAATTCAAGCGAAATAAAATATGTTGCACGTTTTGGAATATAAAATTATTATTAAAGTAGTAATACAAAATTATTAGGTAACTTCTCTCAACAACTTGTTTCAAACAACTTTTCTAACTATAATATAATACTTCGAAGCTCCCGACTTCTTCTGACTCGATGTGAATCCTGGTTAAGGTAAAATCGTTTTCTCGTATTCGCGTCAGGGGAAAGATCTCTGAAGCATACGTCGAAAAATTTCTGAAGCATACGTCGAGGTACGTGTGCATCTTTTATTCGTATGCAACGTGTATATTGCATGTACCATATAAAATAAGAGTAGTAGTCTTCTATTTAAAGTATTACAAAAAAAGCAATGTTCAGACATTCAAACTATGTAACAAAAGTCTTTATACCTCAAGGACCAAATACTCAGTCAATACCTGTAGAACAGTACTGTAATTAATTTTATATCTTAGAATTTTATTTCAATTGTAAAAACGATTCTGATTACTTTATTAAACTTGATAAGTGAAATTCTATATGTTAAACGATACTAAAGGTACCCAGTTTTATACGAAGAATCCTTTAACACGGTACTACTTCAAGAGGCCATACGATATAATAATTTACTGGATGTAGTTAAAATGACACTGGTGGATCTCCTGAAAGCCCTGAAAGGCTTAGTTGTCATGTCCGAACAGTTGGAAACTGTGTTGAACAGCCTCTACACCAACAGAATTCCACAACTTTGGCAAGATAAGGGCTATCCTTCTTTAAAACCTCTTGGTAATTTAATACAGAAACTTGCGTAAATTTAATCTAATTACTATTTTGGAATAATTTGTTAAAATAGACTTTCGACAAATAATCGAGTAAAACGAAAACGCAGGTGCTTGGTTTCTGGACTTGAGAGAGCGAATCCAATTTTTAAAATCTTGGAAAGATAAGGGGATACCTGCAGCCTTTTGGATTTCCGGTTTCTACTTTCCACAAGCATTTTTAACAGGCACTTTGCAGAATTTCGCGCGTAAATACGTCGTTTCCATCGACACAATAGATTTTAGTTTCCAGGTAGCGTCCATTAAGGATTATAATGAATTTCCGAGAATATTATTAATTGTCGACAAATATTAAACGAAGCGCGATATATTATGTATTTTGTAGGTATTAAAATCAATACCGGATCACAGACTGCCAGATGGTTGTGTTATTTATGGTCTATTTCTTGAAGGATGTCGATGGGATGGAAATTATTTAAACGAATCTTTGCCTAAGGAACTATATACTAGTGAGTATAATAATATTGAAAGAAACATTATAAATACTGTATTTTTTTCAGTTCTCGACATATCAACGCGATCATGATAATTTTATCGCTTAATTTAAGTGCCTCACGTCCATTTTATATTAATTTATATACGTGTGTATTACATACAACTTAATCAAACTCTACTTCTGATAATTTAAATTTCATGTGATTTTGTAAATATCTTCGCGCAGACATGCCTCCAATTTTACTTTTGCCGGAGGTACATCATAAACAGCCTGATGGAATCTACATTTGCCCCGTGTACAAAACAATCGATCGAGCAGGAACGTTGAGTACGACCGGTCACTCAACAAATTTTGTATTACCGATGGAAATACCTAGTCAACAACCACAAGCTCATTGGATCAAAAGAGGTGTAGCTTTGATTTGTGCATTGGATTACTAATATTTTTACGATGTCTTATTATGTTTAGTTTGAATTTGTTTAATTTGAATGAAATATATTATTGGATGATTATATTAGATAATACGTTTATTTAATCGAAGTATTTTTCATGTGAATACAATACTTAATATTAAATTACAACAAAACAGTAGAACAAGGATAACTATTGATATTAAATAATTATCGATCCATTCTAATCGTTCTATGTATCATTTTCGTATAATTTAGGATTCTTCCTTTTTGATTTTTTATTTTCCGCAACAGCCCACTTCATACACCAAAACGTTAATAGGAATCCTACAAAAAAAAAAAAAAAAAAAGAGATAAGTGCAAACTTTCTTTCTCAAAACTTCTTTTTATGCATAATTTTGAAAGTAATTTATACCTGGAACCATTGGTATCATAGTACGCCCTGACCGCTTAAAAAAATTTGGTAATCCGTGAGAAATAGCCTTTGCCCAAGATCTTTGATGCGTTGCACATAAGGTAAAGAACACGATTTTTCGTATTCGAATCGGTAATTCTCCAAATTCTAACATGATATGTATTTTAGATCTTCGACGTAAACAGCGCAAGCATTCAAGAAATTAACATCAAATTTTCGTGACAAAGACAAAAGCATATCGACTTTTAATGCTGCCTCAACATGTACATGTAATGTGTTACCACAGACGTCTGAATCTCATCTCTGGTGTTACCATTGACTAAAGCACAGACGATTAATTATATAGTATTATATAACTATTTTTTTTCTTATCGTAAATAAAATAATTTAATTGTTTAAAATGAATTATTCAAACTGTGAAATAATAGAAATATAAGGGAATTCAATCACTGGAAATTAAATGCTTAAAATTTGTTTAATATACAACAATATTATAGAAATGCATTATTTTATAACTTGTGTTGAAATAATTTAAAACGATTAAATTATTTTATTTTTTTAATATTTCTAAACATTATTTAATAATTTTCACAATCTTTCTATTATGATTGAACAATTAAATTAATTATTTCATTTAATAATTCACGTTATTAGTCTTAAATACATTGCTCAAGTCAATTGTTATATAGTTAAAATTCAGTAGCGCTGCGGGCAGAACCTGCTTAAATTGATATAATAGAATGTGACACGAAAATAATATGGGGTCAAGTGATTTCCAAAATAGAGGACACGAAAAAACATTGGTTGTCTAGATGTAAATATAAAAATAAGCATCTAGTAAAAAATAAACAGCATAGATATTTTTATTTTACATGAATTTATTAGATATTAGAAAAAATAAAAATTTATTTTTTATCTTTCTATCTTTATTTTGACAAATATATACACGAAATACTACAAAGATACTACAAAGAATAAAATCAAAATACATACATCGAAAAGTATGTACAAACTATATTGTAAAAAACAAGTATTTGGAATCTCATTTTTGAAACTTAAAAGGAAGTATTATCTATGGGCATATGTTCTAAGATTTTCTGTGGAATAACAAGTTTATCGGAATTTTGTTCTAATAAGCATCCTAGAAGTCGTGGTACCGACAATACAGTACCAGATATCACAGAGGGGAAGGCTAATTCATTTGTCGACTTATATCTAATTAGTAATCTTTTACTAAAATATTCACCGTACGCAGATATATGACCAACTTCGATGTATTGTTTCGAGAAAGGTGACCACAATTCAAAGGATACGCGCATTGATTCCCAAGGTCGCAATTCTGAAGAAGACCGTAGCACAATTTGATAATGATCGCATACATTATCATATAATTTACACGTAACGTTTAATAATCTTTCAAATTGTTCATTGTACTCTTTACTTTTTGCGTCTTTGACTAATATAAATGCAAGTGCAGCTGAAGCTTGGCAAACAGTGAATAAACCAATTGGGTTAGAACCTGGTCGAAACGGAGTATACTGCCTTCCAGTGGAAAAATATGCTACTGGGAAATGAGTTGGATTTATTAACTGTTTTGCATGCATTGCCAAAAATGAAATTAGACTTGCACCTCCAACAAGGTGCATACGATTCGGGGAATCTTTATCTACATCGGAATGATTGTCTATTATAAAAGCGTCGACAGGATCTTCATGATTGAGACCAGAGCCGTCTATCACTAAGCTACGGCTGAAATCTGCACCGGCCACTCTAATCATATTATCCGCGCTGAATATTTTCCCAGCATAACTTAATACACCAAGTTCAAAAAGAGCTGCATCGTTACATAGATAATATTGCATTGGATTTCTATATTCCAATAAACCAAGACGCCTTCCAATTTCAATGTGATTCTTCTTATTGGAGTGTGAAGGTTCATTTAAGGAATTAACACGTTTTAATACAACAGGACCTTGGATAGGCGTTTTTCCATCCAATTCATTCGGTAATTGAAAAATTTTTTCCAAAATACTTTCGTTTAGTTCCTGAAGAGTATCTTTAATCATTTTTAAATCATATTTTATCACCGAGATTTGCAATTTTAATTTCGTAAATTCCGCTTGTTCGTTTGTAGTTAAATTTTCCTTTTTGAACAAAGGGACCAATGTGTCTGATATCTGCTGACTTCTCAATTCTAATTTAGATTTATTTACGTGTACAGATTTGTAAAATTCCCACATACTTTTAACATCTTTAACATTCAAATTCAATCCTCGTCTTGTTAAGTCTTGCTGTAGTTTTTCAAGATTTGCTAATCTTTCATCAAAATCTATATATGGTTGTAGAAATGAATAATATTCTTTGCCTTTGACATTTGAAATAAACAATGCAGAAGTATATTGTCTTTTAAAAGTCAACAACATATTGACAAATTTCGAAGTATTATGTGTTTTATGAGCTGCACATTTCCTTATAAAATGTGGTACACAATTTGCCATTTTAAATATCTATAAACTTTGACAATTTTTATAATTTCTTACGCCTGTGAGAATTTTTCAATTCAAAAGCAAATTTTACTTTTTAAAATAAATTCTTAATTTCTATGCATCCATCTTTGCTAGTTTAGCTTTTGATGAAGTATCTGTTTCAACATTCATATTATAATTGTCTCGACTTATAGTATCGATTTTTCTTTTTTGTGGTGCAATATAATTTCCTTTACCAGCTGCCCTCTCTGACTCCTCGATAGAGTATGGTTCTAATTCAAGAGCTTTCAGTCTGCGTTTATGAACTTTTGTTCTAAAATGGTCATTTAAAGCAGTATCATTTATAAAATATCTCCTACAAAAGAAAATGAATTCTTCAATACATTTGAATAATCATAATAAGAGAATAAAAATATTAAAAGTGACTATTTAAATGTAAAAGTAATGAATATAAATATTACAAAGTAACAATGTTCATATATTTTGGTGAAAGGTTATATCATTTGAAACGATATAATACGTAACACAAACTCACGCGCAATGAATGCAATAATATTGACCTGCTCCTGGTCTATCCAAGTCTACTTCTTGATTTAGCAGTTTTTCTACATTTTTATCATTCAAATCTTCATTAATCTAAAATAAAGAATATCAGATAATAAATGCCGATCATATGTATCCACGTGACACATAATAAAAGTTAGGTTAAATTTAACAAATTATACCTCGTCTAAATCTTTTGTTCTTCTTTTAGTTCGCCACCTTTTCTTTAAATGTGTATCTCCTCTATGATATTTTTTACGTTTATAAACCATTTTCAATGAAAAAATAATTTATGCGATGGAATTAAATTGTGCTATTATCGCATCCTACACAAATAACAAGGATTGGTTAAGTTTGAACAAATTACTATATCAAAATAAATTTTTATTAATTTTTAATTTATACAAATAAACAGATAATAATAATCTATAAAATTTATTAATTCATACAGTTCTAACAATTTGGTATTCGTATTCTGTTTATAAAAAAAAGTTTGTAATAACTTTTGACTTGTGGTCCGTTTTCATAGAAGAGTGTTTATATTCAAAATATATTGAAGTAAATAATTTTTAATTTTTGATATTGACAAATATCAAATATAAACGTAAGAAATCAGGGTATACAATAATAAATATTACCAATGAAATTTATAATAATCTTACAACTACTTTTTGACAGTTTAGCATTGCTATTGGTCGAACAATGTCATGGCGGTTTCGCGTTTATGAGAATTCGTACAGAGGTTATAATGTGCGACAGTTTCCAAGTAAATATCGCGAATCATACTGACAGTGATTGATATCTTCCTGTCGTCCTGATTCTTTCAAATTGAACATTGATGAATTTTAAAAGACCAACAAAATTAGCAGTGAATACGTATTTGTGAAATGAACTTAAAACACGTAGTACACCGAACGTGGTGTAGTATGAAAGGAGCAATTTACGTCTCGAGAAGATACAAATAACAGGTTAACGTTTAACATCGAAGAACGTTCAACGCATAGATACAACGCAGATCAAAGTTAACTGGAACTGGTGGAGAATAGAATTAAAGAGAAAAAAAAAAAGATTCATAAAAGAGCATGCGCATTGGGATGAGAATCTCGCTTTGAAATTGATGGTAACACCGTGGTAGAGTCGACAGATGTCGGTACAATAGGCCAGAGTAGGTCGCGCCTCTATCGGCGAAGCGTATGATCAATTCAAACGGTGCGCCACTGACTTGAGGGGGGTCCACACCATTTTGAAAGTAAAAATACTGCGCGACCCGGGATTTTGTTTGTACGGTTCGGCGAGGGTAAAAAAGCGGCGAGGGCTAGGCTGTGGTATGGTTGGGGCAACGCGGTGTCGCGCGTGAAATGACGTAGAGTGTGCGAGGGTGTGCCGCGTGCGGTACGAGGTGTGTTAGCGGAAACGGTGTCGCGGTGTGTAGGGTCGGCGCTGGCCGTAGCTATCGCAGCGTACGGGAAATTGGCTGTGGCTTCGCCAATGGATGCCAGGCAGGAGAAGACGCCATTTTGATATACGGGCGCACGTCAAGCGTTCGCTCGTAGGGAAACGCGCTCTCGAGTCGGTCGAGCCGCTTTGCGTTGAGCCGCGCAGGTGAATTCGTTGGTTCGCTCGGTTGAAGAGCATCGTTGGTACGAGTGCGTGGCGCAACGTATTCGAACGGTATCGTTGACAAGTGACAGGTGAATCGATCGGGCCGCGAGGAAAGTCGCGTTGCGGCCCCGTGCCCGTAACACGGTTCGCTCGGTTGATCGGTAGTGACTACTGTGTGTGGAACTACGTGTACACATTCGGATTTTTCCCCACGCGGCCGAGAGTTGAGTGTGCACAGCGAGGGACATCGTAGCTAGTGTATATTGGTGCGGGGATCCGGGGTGGCGGTGTACGCGGCAGGGAAAAGCCGCTGCTGTCTCGCTGGTTTCGCGCGCGCGAGAGAGGCCACCGGCCGACACTTTGGGCCAGGACAAGACGACCCGATGTCAGGAGCGGGTCGCGACCCCGTGTCGACCCGTGGTCGTCCTCGTCCTCGCGTATCCATCTCTCTCACAGCACCAGGACGCTCCTGGCGTAAATGTGTTCTCATGAGCGCCCATGTGCACCTCTTTTTCTGCCTGCTGCCCCTACGTGCCCTGTAAACCCAGAGCACACCCCGATTAGCACGCCCACGCACTCTATCACTCGCGAATATGGCCAAGATCCTCAACAAGGACCCCGTCACCTATGAGAGGGAGAGGGAAAACTTCCTTAAGGACCTCCGTCACTTCCATGAGACTAGAGGGTAAGTCGATTTCCATCGTTTCCGTTTTACCATTGTATTAATTACCTCTCTCTCTCTTTCTCTCTCTCTCTCTCTCTTTCTCTTTCTCTTGTTACCTCTCTCTCTCTCTCTCTCTTTCTCTCACACACACACAAACACAGATAGTTATTATTATTTTTTTTATTCTCGTCGATTCCATCGATAGAGAATTACCAACACACTCATGTTCCATCGTTCTCGCGACGATTCGAAAGTAAATCGAGTTAGCGTTGCTTCTACCCATAATGTAGACAGAGTTGAGGTTATGTACGGTTAGTTTAAAGTTTCTCAGAGAGACTTGTCTTTGTGCAAGCTATTTGTTTACGCGTGTTTTATGTTTTTCTTTATCGACGATTATCGGTCGCGTATCTTATTGCGATTGAGGTTACGTTCGATTGAAATGAACAATATTATGATTAACTTGTTGATTTTTCTTATTTCTTTCTTTCAGTCCAGTTATGTCGTTTGATATCGCGATTGTTGTAAACGCTAACGCTTTTTTTTTCTACTTGATTGTTGGATTTTAGCACTAACGTGAAAATACTCGAACAATCAAGTCACTGTAAATCATTTCATGCGAAAACGCCGCTGTTACGTCATTGTTCATGTTTTATTAGTTTAGGAAACGGAAACAAAGCATTTCTCGGTTACACCAAGCGATCTTAACTTCAGTCGGAATCAGCGTTTGTCACTAAATTTTCGTATTCGTTTTGTATAATTAATGAGTTGATATATTTTTGTATATTTTATCTAATTTTGTGTATCTTTTAATTTACTATGTTAATATAAATATAATGAATACATAAATTTGGCATAATACAATATAATTTATAATATTAATAGGTCATCTTATTCGTCTTTATATCATATAAATGTGCAATTATTCGTATACAAAAGCAAAGTTTAGTTTAACGAATAATAAAAAAAATTCTAAATAAATTCATAGCATACAATTTGTATCATTATTTCTGTATTTTATAAACATTACCGCTGTCTACTTATCATTTTATGTATATTTTACATTTTTCAGGACTCCGTTCAAGAAAAATCCAAAAATTAATGGAAAAGATATAGATCTGTACTTGTTGTACGTTGTCGTTACTGCCCACGGCGGATGGATAAAGGTGAGTCCATATTTATATACATGTGCATTTTTATTTCTTTTAGTCATCCTTTTCAATTTCTTTTTCCAACACGACCTATATTGTAATTCTCAGACCGTATAATGAATGAGAAAAGATTTAACAAATAGAGTTTTTGTATGTTTGCATAAATACAATCTCACACTCATTTTATATTTTAAAATCATATGATCACCTTTTAATTTGAATTATTGTTTCTATATTTTAATTTGTACTTTTGAATCATTTCTGTCATAAACCATCATTATTGCAAATCTGCGAAATATAAGGTTCACAAAGAATGCCCTCAACAATAATAATAAAGTAAATGGAAAATGTTTTTGCTCCATTATTCTTATATTTTATATTATACATATAATAAAAAAATTTTTTTTATTATAAAATACATCATCGGCGTCGATATCATTCCACATCATTAAATGTGATATACCAATCAATTATTTTTTTAATTCGTCTAACTAAAATTAAAAATGAGACACATAAAATTTAAGTATAATATTCTTCCTTCACCAAAGAAATTGTATTACAATGTTGTAAACATTAGATTGAAGAAATAGATGAGCGTATTCAGTCTATAATATATATATTCTGAATTTTTATAAAATTTTTATGGTTAAAAAGAGAACTGTTTTTTTAAATGACTTAATTTCCCTGTCATCAAGCAATCTGTCCTTTTTATTTAATTTCTAGTTCGAATGCATTCAATAATATCATAAATACTTCAATCTTTTTTTTAATTTAATAAAATTCTAGAGACAATCACGAAAAGATATTAAGCGAATTGTTGAAAAATACACAATATAAATTGATTGAAAAAAATTACAATCGAAATGTTGCGTTAACGTAAGTTTAATCTTTAATTTTATAGTGCTAATACCTAAGCACTATAAAACATCTTACAATTAGTGTTTATTGTCCGAAATAATTTGTAATGTGCTAAATCATATCAGATACTAAATCTTTATTTAAAAAATGCATTATTTCAATTTTCTCATTTACGTTTATAAAACATTTAAATATTTTCGTTTCTTTTAATACACGTTTCATTTTCCTCTCCTTTTTTTCTTTCAAGTTCTCCCGTTAGAAAAGATGTTCGAAATTTTCGATTTAGGGTGCTTCGGTATTAGAAATGCATGATTAACTATTGGTGAACGCGGCGGAAACGCGGGAAAACGATTTTTGTGAATGAATCTCGGCTAAGACGTTATAATAATTTACGACTTCTCTGTTACGCAGACTCAAAGTAAATAGTTTGAATTATATCGCGTAAAAATTACAATCTCACGTCTCTGATATTTTTGAAAAAAAAACTATTTATATTAATCTGCATGATTAGATACATTATTTATTATATTGGAGATATTTGCTACAGTTGCTACTTCATGAAAGTATTCAAACATTTTCGAATATATTATATGTGTTATTAAAGCATTTTGAAAACAATGTATCGTTCTAATGTGATATTCGACTCTTAAATTATTACAGCTATGTATACATCATTTATGTGTACGTTCAAGATGATGGTATTACTCAGTGGTCTATGGAATATGTTATGTTCGAATTAAATTTACTAGGTACAACCACATTTTCATTATAATCACAGCGCTCGAAATTGTACCCTTCTGGACAGAAAATACATACATACGTACGTAAAGCTTGACTTTATCTTAAATAAAATTATTCTGTTTTACATTTGCACATGCAATGATTAAAGTTTTGTAATATAGCAAACCTACTGCGTACACTTTTCGTGACTAGGATGTTGATCTCATCTCGATTTTGCGGCGATCGTTTTTCGCATTAGGGAGAGATTGAAAACGAAGAGATCGCCAGTTAATGTTATGCAACATGTACCGTGTGAACAATAATTTACGCGCGCGTTATTATTCACGCGTTCTATGTACATATAACATTCACGATCGATGAATTTTACAGAAACGAAGATGAATCATGTCCGCGCGTTTCTACTTCTTCATTTATTACTTGATAAAACGTACGATACTGTTTTAATCAATATTTTTTAACTCTACGAATTCTCTGACCAGTGTTCTCTCTTGCACAGTGATTTCCGATGTATTAATATGGATTATAGGTTATGTGCTACAGGAATTTGTTGGACAAGCATTTTGTTTTACAATTCTACAACTTCACGTCAATTGAACGCTAGAGTTTCATTTTATGAAACTTGTTCCTGTCATGGCAAGGGAATTTACCTTTTATTATCATTGACTTTTAATCTTTGACTTGTGAAATTTCACCAATATAACCTCTCCACAACGTGTCAAATATACTGAAATCGTTTGTATCCCGCATTGACTTAAAAGTCTGCAGCGTTCGTATTTCTTCTAAACAATTAATTAAATAATATATGTTTATTATTAATAATAATAAACGCATGACCACCTCTTTGTTTAGGAAATAGAGGTAATTTTATGAAACTATACTAAATTTAGCAGAGTGATAAAAAAATATACCATTATACAGATAATGTGAGTTAAACTTTTGAAATTAGGTCTACAGAGTGTCAATGATGAATTATTGTCGATGTGTACGTGTCATGTATCGATATCTTACATTTGCACGCGTAAATTCTCGGAATATTTACCTATGCAAATGTTCGTTCTGATGTGAACCAGCGACGCTATATGTATGCACTTTATCGTTGGCACCTATTCGCATTCGCATACATGTTTTCGTTGCATTATCTGTATATGGGTATAATAGTATTCTTTTCCGTAACATGTTTTTTTTTTTTTTTTTTGTTAATGTAAATTTTTTGGGAACATTTTATTGCAAGATAACCTAAAATTTAAACGGTGATTCAGACATTTCAATGAAATAATTGGTCGTCAGTTTGATTCACGTAGTAGTTTTTGATTCGCCTAACGTAACGAGGTCTCTTTGCATTGTGATGAGTAACGAAGTGATTGAAATGATTTAAACGCGGTATCCTTGGCTCTGTTGCTCTTCGTTGCCAATGTTCAATCGGATTATTAAAGAATAATTCATGTCCATTGCAAAATTGTTACATATGCTCGAAAAAGAACACGAGTAATTTCATATCTACCAGAAATGGTACATTGGTTGTTAGTAATTTCTCGTATCCGTATTAGAATCGAAACTGATTTACTGAGGTTGCTCTTCGTTCGCTTTTATATTGTATCCAAAAGATTTAAAGCCAAAGTGGCGGCTTGAGTTACCTTTTTGTTTGAAAAAATAATTTGAACTTGCCTTAAATAATAATTTAATTTCAACATCCGAACGGAGTTTAATAGAACCTCAAAAAAAGAATCACATCGAGTAAAACCAGAAATATTTTTTCGAACAACAACCGCATGAGAAAAATGTGCTGTTTCAGATGAAAAAATTGCAGCCATTTTTAATATACATAGCCATAGAAATTTCTCGAATAGAATGTGTGTTTCAAAATTGTAGAATAAAAATTCATTCGCGAATATGTTCCTGAATAATTGTTCCTCCAGTGTAAGAACCACTGGCCTATGTTTTCATAAGAACCGATTCGACAGTACATATATGTACATATGTAGCCGTATATATGCACATAAACGTCGTATGTACTTCTGTCGTGGCAGCGCTGCGGTATAACATGGCGAAGCTTTTCACCTCTCTTCTTTCTCGTTGCATCTAGTAGCATCTTGTAACGTGCCATCTGTCAATATCTATCCACTCTTAAATACGTTCGTATCTTTTATATTAAATTATTCACGATTTTCGCTCCGTAACAACTTTCTAGAATTATTTTCTCTGTTAGAATTTCAAACTCCTCTTTAGACATCAATATCATCTCTCTCTATCTCTCTCTCCCCTCTCCTCCTTTCTTTATATAACTTTCTACATGCTTTGAATTTGAAATGATCATTTATAAATTCGAGTCCTATTTCGGATAAACTTTAAATTAATGATTGTTTTGTTTTACATTTTTACATTTGCCAATTTCGAAGGACTACAAAAATGATGATTAATATCATGATGTTAATTTAACGTGTATCGCATCGAACAATTTTAATATTCACTCGTTTGCTGGACGTACGTCAATTGTCATTTTCCGGGAAAGCTTGACTATAGAGCACGTTTTGTGCCTTTCCGTTTTTTTTTTTTTTCTCGCGCTGAATTTCCTTTTTCAACTTACGCCGATGAAAAAGTGTAAGCACTTAGAGACGAGAGCACGACCTGTTCGTCATCGAAGTTATAGTCAAGGGTATAACCCCTTGAGAGGAGTGCATAACCTGTAGCAGTGACTCCCAATGAGAGAATCATGGTGAATTCTCTCAAGCGAATGGCAAAACTTTTGTAAGGAACGAAATTTCATTAAACTTTTTACCTTTTTAATTAAACTTGTCGGCACACATAAAAAGAAAAAGAAAGAAAAAAAAAATGCACCCGTTTCTCCAAAAATGGGAACGAGAACTTTGAAAATATACGAACGAATGCACAATTATAGAAAAAAAAAAACTTTTCCCCTTTTTTTTTTTTTTTTTTTTTTTTTTTTATTGTATGCGACAGTAAGATTCTCTGATTTTTATCTCGGATGGTTACGCGATTAGAGATATTACTGAGATATTACACAACTGGCTGAGTGTCACCTGACGTTCGGAAAGAAAGCACGATCCATCCATCCAGGTGTGAAAAACTCTGATAACTACTCGTCTGTGGAACGATTGCAACAAAAGACGTCTTCCCCGTCTCGAGTCAGCAACGAGTCAAGCCTCAACGGCCGGATACTATGAACTTCAAAATCAAGTTGCTCTTCTCAACAGTTTTTCAATTAACCGCTCCTCCGATGCTCGATACGCGACAAAATCGTGGCGTAGCTCAGTTCAACAACCGTGCGACGACATCTTATCGAGTCGTTTGCTATTAAAGAATCAAGGAGAGAGTGGCAGAAGATAAGAGCAAGATGGAATGTTTTTTTTTTTTTTTTTTTTTTTTTTTAAAAAAGAAAAAAAAAATGAAGAATTGAG